AAAAAAAAAAAAAAGAAGCCAATTTTAAAAGAAACAGTTTGGATCAAAAATCTTTTCAACAATGTTAGATTCTCTATGTGTTGTGTTCCTTATTATGCCCCCATCACTTTCACAGTTGCCATTTGGATTTGAAAGGGAATTAATAAATTACCATTCCATTTTTCTTGTTATAAGCACGATAATCCCCCTTGGTAATGGATCTCCGTTCCGTCAAAGTTCCTTTTGCTGTCGTTGAACAAGACATAGATCTAATTATATCGTGTCTTTTTCGACTTTTTAACTCTTTCAAATAGCATAAATTTTATCGTAACTGAAAAGCACTTTATCATCTCAAAATTTTATCAAAGTTATAAATATCCCTAACTAATGCAGATAATGAAAGCCAAAAAGTAGGTGTTTGTTTACGCAACACATTACAAAGCAGCCAGATTAGGAACAAGGCCAATCAAATACAGATTTTTTTCGAAGCGCCGCCATTTTGTGGGTTTGCCGAGCCAATACTTCCGGTTGTAGAAAGGGTGACGAAAGCTGTGTAGCTGCCGGGAATCTGTCAACATCGGCTCTTTGGTTGAAATTAGTTCCTTTGTTGGATATTATTTGGACATTACAAAAACAAAATGTTGAGTGCAGGAGTGTGGAAACTCAGGGAGTTGACTGATAAAGTGTAAGTAGTCATTGAAAAGATGGATTTGGTATGTGCCGTCATGTCAACTTCCGGTTTTGTTGACGCTTGACACGAAAGCAATCTCTATCTCTCCTGTCCCCGTCCACATTCCTCAAATCTTAACTTTTTGCCTCTTCAGTGTAATGTCTTTCTCGTTTCCTTCCATAAACTGTTAACTGTTCAATCCCCTCTCCCTGGCTTTTTCTCTTTTTGTTATCATATGAACGTTTACCCGTCACGGTCAGGGCAATCTTGGTCTATGAATGATAGTCGGTGGTCGGTAAACAATGTCAACAAAGTCTCCGTGAAATCTGAAATGAAATGACAGACCGAGAACACCCCCACCAGTCCTTGCCCAACCTCTAACTCAAGTTATTTGACTTTGGTCTCCTAGTCTATAGTTGCAGTCTAATTATACCTTAATCCCTGTTGTAGTTTTGTAAAGTGAGATAAAACAGGCCTTTTTAAAATAACTTTTTTTAGGGGGTCTGTCTGAGTCATGACTTGAATTTGATTCCATTGTATTTCCATTCAATTTATTGACATGGACATGTAAATCTAGATTCTAGATTAGATCTAGAGCCCCTGCACGGCATACCGTCACCTTAGTGTTTTGTGATGACTATTTCCGGAAGTGAACTTTTGTAGGGAAGATTGAAGAATGGCCACCGGACCATTCGTACATTATTGCGCGAGAAAGTGGGATAGGTGGGGCGGGTGATTGGGAGGGGGAGGGGGTACAGGGGGGGTCTCCCCCCTGACAAAATTTTAATGAATAGATCTACCGGTCCGAGATTCTCCATTGAGAGATATTAAAAACGGGAAAATTATGAATTCGTAAGGTTGAGACATAGGCAAAGTCAGTCCGCTGGTCCGGTATTCTTCAATCTTACACCCTTTTGTATTAGATACAATAACTTCGGCTCTTTTAAAAACATCGACCCAAAATTTCGTTTCGTTGAGAGGCCAGCCTTTCCTGTCGGTGTGGGGTGAGGTTTTTAGTCAGATAGTGTATAATACATAAAGAAGACCCCTAAGTGCCCTAACCGAGACTTGACGCATGTCATGGCATGTACCCCGTACCGTCACATGTCGGGTTTTCTGTCATGGCATGTACGCCTTATACCTGTCACCCACTACACCCCATTTACCAGCACTCTCAAATTGAAGCACAACTAGGCGTTTGAAAAGAGGAAAGAAGCAAAGACGAACTCCTTTTGTACAGCGGGCCAAAGATAGAACTAATGTTTATTGACATACACTAAAAAGAACAACCACCAGAACAGACTCACATTTTACTCACACATAGGTACATGAATGTTTCATTTTACTCTTCCACACATATCACAAACTCAATGATATGAAACATCTTTCTCACACACAGGTACATGAGTGCTTCATTTTATTCTTCCTCACCACAGCAAACTCACTTGAACATCTTTTACTCTCACACACAAGTACATGAATGCTTCATTTTACTCTTAGACATCATGTATCACAACAAACTGCGGAGCGGTCATCGTCGTAAACCAATCCCACTTCCTTTTCATCCTCTTTCTCCTCCTCACTCTCTAGTCTCTCCTTTTCTTCTCTTTAGCTTCATCATCTTTGCCTGTACTTTCCTCTTCCTTCCCTTACTCCCACATTTCCATGTTGTTTCTTCTTCTTCTTCCCTGCTCTCTGCTTCTCCAACTTCGTTAACTTTTCTCCTCTTTTCTCTTCTTCCTTCTCCACCCTTTTCTCTCCCTTTCTCTCTTCCTCTTTTCCACTTCTTCCTTTTTCTTCTCTTCTTCCAATTTCTTCGCCTCCTCCCATGCTTTGTACTTTGCCCGTAAGACATGTATGTAGGGGCCTTAGCCCGCTTCTCTGTGTTGAAACCTTAGAGTTCCAGCTTGCTGGTACGGGCAGGTTGACGAACGAGGGGGCAGGAATGAGTTGATTGTACAAATCAAGGTACTTTCTGTAAGCCCCCTCGTTCTCCTTAAGTTCGATTTTGTGCCAATGGCAACGGCGGACCCAATGACAATGCATGTCTGATGCCATTCATCCACTGGCAATGGCGTGATCAATTAGCTTGTCAAGGACAAAGCTAAATTTAAAGTGTTGTCCTGAGGTAGTTTTTGGGGGACTTGGGGTGTCACCAGAGTTTCATCTTCCAATGGGCTCAATGCCTGCTCAGGCAGACAATAGTCATGGTTCTGGTTATCCACAGGATCCTGAGCTGGTGTTGAAACCAAAGGTAGCTGAAACTCTGCTGCAGGATCCAGGGAGTCCTCGGAGGTACATACATTCGATCCCCGAGAATTCCAGACCTGTAGTCGAAAAGTCTAGGGCATCAACTGACCACTCACAACTAGAGACAAGGGCAGTTGGGGGAGGGCCAGCAAGTTTTTCTTCTGAAACAGAAGCAGTAGGAGCAGGAACAATATCACAACATGTGGAAACAGTGGCTGGAAGAACATCATCACAACATACATTGGACAGAGGAACATCGTCATCATCATTACATACAAAGGGAAAGAGTTTCCTTCATATAAATTTGTTTCAAACATTAAAAAGGAAAAATCTAAAGTCGCTCATTTTCTAATGAATCCGTGTCGAAATAGATCTATCTAGATCTATATCAAATCATAGAAACTATAAAATCTAAAGTACTAAGATGCCATCCATAGTCCGTCAAGAAATAACTATTTTTCAAGTCACGCACCATGTAAAAAAATATAGTGACGGTATCGGGTACATCCCTAAAAAATTGTACCCCATACCGTCACCCCCCCTACGGGCGCCAATTGTTACAACAAAGGGCAGCGAATGGTTTGAGGCGGTAACTAGACACCTTATAAACTGAATAAAAATGCGATTCTGCGGGTACGATTACAGAACCAATAGCTTATTTCCCACGACGCAATGCGTATCTGCAAACCGTAATGGCTGAACGCGGTTCTTACCTTTGGAGATATAATGGATTATATCTGCTCACACAGGTGTCTGATTCTGCTCAAAATTGTTGAACTTGAAAACAAAACAATGTTGAACGGAATTGTTTAGCAGACAGCATTCCAGGTTATCGCATAATTGTCTGGTTGTCCAATTTTAGGCCAAATGCGTGCCAACTGACGGTCTGACGTACGTGACGGTATGCCGTACATAGGCTCTACATCTAGATTCTAGATCGAGAATCTTGAACTGGAATATCTAATTGGCTAATTCTCAGGATGAGATATTACTAGATCTAGATCTATCCACCCATCTATTTCTCTTCTATCTCCTTCAAGTAGCCTGTTACATAAACTGCCTTTTTTTGTAGCCGGCCACCTCTATTCTCACCCCGGGTGAGAATAGCGCAGGCGACCCTTTTGACTATTCTCACCGGGTGTGGGTTCACCGTTATAGCCTAGGCCAACCAGTGCAGCGTTCACCCTGAACCACAGAATTCTACACTGTGATAACAGAATTGTAGAATTCTGTGCCGTGAACAGACGTTCCAGCGCTCTTGTGTTAATGTTAGAAGCCTAAAAGTGTGCAATTTGTCTGTGGGCAGTGGAAAGAGAGAGGAGTAGCTCGAGAACTTCCAGGCAAAACAAAATGGTGACCCGTATAGTTCAGCTCGATTCGAAAAGTTAAATAAATAGCCGTAGCATCTTTGTAGACGACCAAATTAATTGACTTTTTTTGTGTTTTTACATCAGTGTTTAACTTTGTTTTGGTCAATTTGATCGTACACACAGATAGACAGTATTCAGAAAGAGACAGAGAGAGAGAGAGTTGAGGATTAGATCTTGCGAGAAATTCCGGGCAAAACAAAATGGTGACCCCCGTAGTTCGGCTCGATTCGAAAAGTGAAATAGCCATAGCATCTTTGTAGACGATCAAATTAGCTTACTTTTGTGCTATTAACGTCATTTTTTCTTTGTTTTTGTCAATTTGATCATCCACACTGATAGACAGTATTCCGAAATTAGGAAAAACAGGTCTTGTTTCACAGCGGGTGAGAATAGCCAACGCTGGCAAGTCTCACCCAGGGTGAGAGGTCGATCGTATGTATTATATTCTCACTCCGGGTGAGGATAGCTTCCTTTGTAAGCCTAAGATTATCTGTAGGCCTATTCTTTTGTAAAGTTGAGAGTGGTCAGGCATTCTGTTACGAGTGACCACTGCCATATTTACTGAACAAAATATGACCTTCTAAACTTCTAAAGTAGATAGAGTAGGTCTAAACTAAGACTGAAATAGTTTGGTTTAGGGTTAGGTCTCTTCTTTTATAATATGAAGCTACAGCGAGCACTGAGCACAGCTCTGTGACTGGCCCAAACAGATGACGTATTTTCGGCATCTATTTTTGTCGTCTTCCGGGGCTTCCCTGAAGACTCTTGGGTTTCCCTCGCTAGTAACAACTGTTGACTAGATCTCGTCGTCTTTGGGTTTTTTGTTAGGCTATTAATTTGTTGTATAATCTTTTACAAACTTACTCAGCTATTCTCGTTCCATAAATTTACCTTCTACTCCTCAAAGTTGTACACACACAGACAGACACACACTCAAGCGCATGCGCACACACACCCACACACACATAGCCAAAGCAGTTGGTGATGAAGCCCATCGCACTCTAAGCGGCAAAGTGGGCCCGCGACAGTGAGATCTAGTCATATGGCGAGGGGAATCCTGGAAGACGCCCTGAATGTAGTTTGCAGGCTATGATTTGCCACGTAAATGGAGTCAAATTTGTGTTCAGCAGACAAAACAAACTAAAAAAAAAAGTACACACACAGAACCTAGACTTAACTCAGGCTGTTCTTCATCAGTGCCGAAATGCGAGTGTTATTACTGAGCTCCTCATGTCTAGCCTAAGTGGAGAATTTGTTCAAATTTCATTGGACGAATACAGTGCTTCCACTCTTCCGTATTTTTACGGAAATCCGTACTTTCTGCCAGTTTCGTACTTGTTCCTCCATCATTATCAACTCCCTTCGTAAAAATCTGCGACAGCGTAGGACTACCAAAATTCTGTAGCAAAAGACCCGTACTCGCCTTCATATCGTTTTGTATAGTTCAAGTTACGGATATTTACGGTAATTCTCTCGGCAGTAGTTTGTTATAGTATCTGTCAGATTGCGCATTTCCTGCCATTGACCATTTATCCCCTATGCCCCATGCATTCATTGGGGGTTGGTCGGCAGTACATTTTTTACCTGCAGATTGATCAAAATCTGGCGAACTTTTTGTGCCTTTTTCTTCCCTTCTGTCATTCCCTCATTCCGTCTATCTTCGGATTGTTGCCGCGGCTGGAAAATTTGCGCGTTGACCAAGTATATTGACTTGTGATCGTAGAAAATTACTGTCAGAAAGAAAATTTTTCGCAAATTTATTGTCTAGGTCTAGAGAAATTATCAGTGCGAAGATTCTATGGCACGAGAACGGGATTAGGGCAGCAATGAAAAAAATTTGTGCTAAAACTACTAAAATCAAGAATAATTCGAAGTGGTGTTCTGAAGTTGTGACATGTGACATTCAGACGTGAAAATTTAGGAAAAATTAGGGTATACGCTGGGTAACTGTATTGTGAAGGTATCTTTATTCATTATTCCCAGGTTTGCCTTCTATCAATGGTGGATGACAAATTAATTGAATTATAGTAGCAATGGAAGGGGAACCTTCTTTTAAAAATTGCCAGCAATGGAAAGATATGTGTGAAGAATTGAAACAAGACAAAATCTTGGTGAAAAAATAGAGGTATTAGTAGTATGGGTTGTTGGCAAACAGGCTCCCAAATGCTATTTTCAACCCTCTAAAAGCACAAAATTTCAATTTCTTCGGGGGCTTCGCCCCCTGAACCCCCACCGGAACGCTGTCCCTGGACCTTAATGGGGGCCTTTATGTGGCCCCCAGACCCCCGGCAGAATTTTCCTTACTTTTCAGCATCAGCTGGTGGAAGCACTGAATTATCTAGAGCTACCACCTTGACATGTTTTGAATGAGACGTACGCCTCGGTTATGAACTAATGCAGGCGGTTCTACAAGTAAGCCACAAATGCACACAAACTCAAGCAGACTGAGGCGCACACATGATCTTCACACAGATGATGCTCGGCGTGCATGCGCTGGGCTAGGAGGGCCTGACTGATATGGGCCAGGCTCAAATAGCTGTTCGCCTTGCTTTTGAACTAATGGAGACGGTTCTAGAAGTAGGCCACAAACACAAGCAGACTGTTGCACACACACACACTTTCCCTGGGGAAACATGGAACCCACTGTTTGTTTGATGCACGAAAGCTAAGTAGGGCCATTCTGTCACGGGGCCCCTCTATATGTAGAGGGTACCAGAAATGCTAATCAGTGTGCAGGCAGGACCTTTGGGATGACTTTCAACCCATCTTAGTCTTACGAGGTCTTTTCCTTCTTTTCCTTAAATCTGTCTTTAGTCACAACTTCCTGGCTAATATATTTATGTTCACAATGTGTGATGAAAGATTTAGAACTTCTCTGAAAAGCAGTGCATTACAGACAAACTTTCCGTAATTCTGTTTTCAGCACCAATGTGGTTATGAACTATTCTGAAGTTGAGACAAAGGTGAGGGAAGCAACAAATGATGACGCATGGGGTCCTCATGGCTCCTTGATGAAGGAGATTGCCCAGTACACTTTTACATACGAACATTTCCCTGAAGTAATGGGCATGCTCTGGAAGAGGATGCTGCATGACAACAAGAAAAACTGGCGAAGAGTTTACAAGGTGAGTTCTCAATAGAATTTTCCAGGTGTGCCTTAGAAAGGTTATAGAACTTTAAAGAACACTCCAGAGACTATGATCTCAATCAAAGAATAAAAAAAGAGCGGGTTCTCATATGGATTTCAAGGGGCACAACTCAGCTCATCCTACCTGGTGTCCTAGTTACCTCATTTGTTACGCGCTGAAGTTACTGACTCTGAACAGAAGGTAGGGAAGTTTTTTTGTTGTTTTCATTGTGTGCGCATATTTGTGAACAATGTGTTGTTCGGCGTACAAATGAGAACAAGTGGCTTAGGCTTGTGTGGTTTTCCACAACACTGCATTGTCACTGTGATTTGATGGCATAGAACTATGAGAAACAGTAAGTTGCAACTCTGCATGGGTGAAGTGAATGAAATAAAGCCATGAGGGGAACAGCAGATTGAACCAAGGGAAATCAACTGAACGACCAACATTATCTACAGAACTGAAGTGTCTCATAGTCTACCTTAAATTATGTTTTGTGTGTTTGCAGTGTGTAGATTGAATAGTCCTTTCTTCCTTACCTGTCCTTCCTCTTAAAAATGACCAGTTACAGCAAGTTTAGGCGTGGTAAAGCAGGATCCTGAGGAAGGTGTATTGCCCTTAAGTCCTAAGTTTATTTTTATCTTCTTGAATGGGTTCCAAGGATTGCAAACTATAGAGCAAAATTTTATCTTCATGAAAAAAGTGGACTCTTATTTGGATCAATGGGTTTATCGGCAATGTGTTCTTAGGTTGCAACCACTGCTTGTGGATACATTTTCCAATTATAACTGTTTCTAAAGTTGGAAGAGGATTTTAAAAAAAGATCTTAAGCAAAATTTTTTTTTCTGTGTATAGATTATATTGTAAGTGATGTCCCTTTTTAGGCATATATATTGTATAATCCCTGAAAAATCATACTTCGTTTTTACAGTAAATGTCTATCGCAATATTATTTTGAAGTGATAATGTGAATACGTCATTGTTTTGCCGTCTGAATTTGTTGATCCAGCAGTTAAAGTCTACAAAAAAACATTTGACTTGTTGAGACTCAAAGTATGAAAGTTTTACATGACCTGAGCTGGTGCTCTGTGATAGATGATTTGTGCAAACTGATTACTGTTCACAAGTTATAAAGATCCTTTTGTCCGTTATTTATTGTTGTAGGTCAATGAGTTTAAGAGTGTATGCTTCTTTTTATACACATGATATGGAGGAATCTTTCTCCCAGCTTACCATTTAGCTGTTTCTTCCTCAGGCTTTAGTGTTGTTGAGCTATCTGATCAAGAATGGCTCAGAGAGAGTTGTAACCAGCACAAGGGAACACATTTATGACTTGAGAGGCTTGGAAAACTATGCTTTCACTGACGAACTAGGCAAAGATCAGGGATTGAATGGTATGCGTCTTTTTATTCTCTTGAGTTCATGTATACTTGTTCTGCATATTTTTTTTTCTTCTAAATTTATATTTGACATTGTGGTAGCTTGAATGTGTAAGATTGTTCAGTATAAATCATGTTTAATGTTTTTGTCTGCTCTTGTTTGTGTGGTGTTGAGAGGGGGAGAAAGATGGCTAGGATCGAATAGTTTGTGATTTGTTACCATTTGATTTTAAGAGTGCCGGTTCTGTGATCGTGGGTGGTAGGCGGGTGCTCTGGTGTGAGTGTGGTAAATAGAAATCTTTAATGATCTTGTTGAAAGCCAAAGCAGCGAGAAATTTTGTGATGGTTGGAGATAAATAAAAGAATATCTCAATGAATTGATGATATGTTTTAATGAGAAAGTCCATGGAGAATAATTACTTTATGGTGGCAAATTTCACAGTTACCCAAAGATAAAATGCCTATTGTTTCTTTTGAAATGTTTCAGTACGTCACAAAGTGAAGGAGCTTCTCGACTTTATTCAAGATGATGACAGACTTCGAGATGAGAGAAAAAAGGCGAAAAAGACAAAGGATAAATATGTTGGCGTGTCCAGTGATGTCATGGGCTTTAGTGGCACATCCTCTTACAGTAAGAGTAATAAAAATATTGATAATCCTGACCTATAACACTTATTCAAAGACTACATTTTATCACTTTTCATGCACATGTGTTCCATGCCTTCTAAATGCACTTTTAGAGGGCTGATTTTTTTTGTCATTTTGGTGGTCACTATATGTCTTGTTTAAAAAATGTTGCAATTTTGGAAAAACAGAAGTAAACACTTGAGATGGATCTGGCAGTACAATGAGTATCAGCAGGAGAACTGTGTTAAATGAGGATGTTATTGTATACATAACTACACTGTTTACATAAAACAATGATTGTTGTAGTAAAGGATTAGAAAAATGCTTTTACAGTGTAAACAAGAATTTCTTGTTTTATTGGGTTGCAGATGAAGAGTAATTGGGGTTTTGACTCATACTGTGTTCATTTTTCTTTGCTGAACAGGTGATCGCTATGACGAAGAACCAAAGAGCTACAGAGATCGGCCAGGGAAAATGGAAGAAATTGAGGACTGGGAGACGGGCAAAAAGTCAGTTGTCAGTGGAGCACTAGACAAGGCTAAAGATCTCTGGAATCGTGCACAGGGCAGGCATGCGCCTGATGACATGTATGACTAGTATGTTTTCCTACGCATGGTGGTGCCAAGGCTTGTTGTGGTTTTGTTATTAGTGCTGGTGTGTGTCACTTGGTGTTCAGAACTTATCTTACTAACGCCTGAGACGTTTCTGATCCCCTTTTGAGGAATATTTTAATGAGATATTTATTATTAAAAGAGGACATCTGATTATAATTATTACTTTGTTTTTTTTTCTCCAAATGACCATTAGTTGATTTGGCTGAGTAAATGTTTTGATGTCATGATAGGACACAATTTTGCAGGTTTTCGCCAGGTGGAAAGAATTTTTTAACTTAACAGGTGATTTTTGCCTATAATCGAAAAGACTCTTTTAAAGCCAAAAAGATTAATGCAGTGGACATAAGGGTAATACTGTCAAGGTGGACAGTGTGTGATTCCTGAATGAGAAGGAACTTTGTCAATCTTTTAAAATCTGTTATTCTTTTCCATTTTACCCTTTTCATTAATTTTTTTATTTTTAGCCTTGTTTATTTCTTCCCCGGTGTATTTCTTTAGTTTTGAAGTAAAAGGTAGTTCTAAAAAAGAAAATGTACACTATGTTTAGTGCAATGGAGTTGTTAGGACACAAATCAATTATTGTATTTTTAGCTGTTCCTGATATATTATTTAAACTAGCATTAGTTTGAAGACCTAATTGAGTGTCATAGCAGTGCTCTGTGTCAGTGTGGGTGGTTATTAGAGGGTGCCATAATAAGTCCAGATTTTTGTTTTGCATTTTTTTTCCTAGCACAAAATGAAAATTCCATTCTCTATACGACAGTAGATTACTCCAAAGTTTGCTCTTTAAGTTGAATGGTTTCCCTGGATTTTCCCTCTTATCTTTGAAAAAAAAAGTTTTCTCACAGATGTTCTTTTGTTGTGAGATCTTCCAAGAGGTGATGATGATAGTATTGTTTGCTGTGCATGTGTAAAACCCACTTTTTTTGTAGTGTTTCTTTATTGTATTTTAAAAATATTTTTAAGACCTTTCTCAGCTGTCATTTCTGCTATGTTACCTGTAGCATGTAGTCTTTTCTTCATACTAGTTTGCTAGTGTGTATGTGCTTGAATTTCACAACTGTTCTCACTCGACTCATGTCTGGTTTAAAATTCTTTTGGTTCACATCTACTACTTGTATCACATGTGTCTGAAACTTTTTGAATTTGTGCTCAAGCTTTAAATAAAGTTTCATTTCTAGAAAGTAATTCAGGGATCACAGTTTTCCGCGGGTCCGCGATTTTCCGCGGTTGCGAGAACTTCCCAAAATCCATGCCGGCGGTCGTTCCGCCCCGGCCTCAAGTCACGCCACTGTAGGCCTTGAGTAGCCTGAGATTGGCCCTAAGGCGCCCTGCGATCCGCAGATTCCTCTAAGCTTGGCCTATTATAGACCAAATGCGAGTGAGACGAGAAAAAGAAAGTCACAAACAGTAAAGAAAACATGCCCTCTCCTTCAATTGGAGGTGAGCCCGAACTGACATTTCCCCTCTTGTTCCGTTGGTTTATTTTGCATTTTTAAACTGATGTGGAAAAGGGGTGGGGGATGTGCACAATATTTACGGAAGTCTATCTGATTGACCATCAAAATTCAGGGGTTGGCGAAAAATTTCACTGTGATCCCTGGTAATTGTCATTGTGGTTATTTATGCATTTATTTGAGACTAAAATTGACACCCGCTTGCTGCACGTAGCATGTCAGAGAGAATGTTCTGTTTTCATCACATTTGTATGGCTCATAAAATATTTATTTTGTGTACATTTTTGGCTTGATAGGCTTGAACTGGAGATTTAAAAAAAAGAATTTGAAACTTAAGAAGTTATTTAATAAAACTATCATGTTTTAAGAGCCAGGAAGCATCAAAATGATGTATCTTGAACTAAAATAGGTTTCCATTCATATCATAGTTATGGAAGTTTTATATATGCTTGTGAAATTGATTTTAGTGAAAAAATTCATGCCATAGTTGAATTTTTTTCCGTAACGTAGCCTAACGTCCTCGTGGACTGTGTTCTCTGGTTATTTCCCTGAAACCTGCCAAACCTGTCAGGCGTACTGGTTCACAATCAGACAAACTCTGGGCAAACTGCTTATCTTCTTGATGTGCTTGCTGAGACTTCATTAAATGCTGTTTGAGTTAAATATGCTTTTATGCTTAAATATTTTTCAAAAAATGTTTGAAATGGGCTGTATTGTTTAATTCCACAGTGACGGAGATAGATATGATGATGATTATGAAAGGAAAGAAAAAGAACGAGAGAACAGAGAACGCAGAGACAGAGACAGGTAAAGTATTTGTTAGTTTTGTGTGCCTATTAAGTTTTTGGTTTTGTTGCTTATTTGAGTTGTAGCTACTTAGTTTCTTTAAAAGAAGAAGTTCTGATGTGTATCCACAGAGCTAGCCTTTGCTTTATGGCAATCATAGTTGTTGCGTTTGCATATGAAATGATAAGTAAATGATGTTTGTTGCCTGATGAGAAGGACGAAGTAGGCTAAACATTTAATTAGATATTAGACATATTTATAATCCATTTATTGTAGTTTTTAAAGGCTTGTGTTTCTAGTAGTAACGTCAGTCTGGGAAAGTCTACTTTAGTGGCTGATCTCTCTGTTTTTTTTTTTTAAAAGTGATGACACTCTTCTTTTTTACATGGTCAGTGTATGAATGCGACCGTTTTGTGTTTTTCCTGGGTTCTTTCATTTTTTTTTCATCTTTCAAGACATAAAGGGGTAAAATATTTATGTGGCTGTCTATCTCCCTTCGTAGGTATGATTTCAAAGATGATGATGAAGAGTACACATCTGTTGAAAGAACACATACCACCAAAACTGAAAAAATTACTACAAACAGGAGATCTCGCTCTGTGGGCAAAAAACTAGACCTGGGCGCCTCCTCCAACTTTGGCAAAGAAGGTGACACTCAGGTTAGTAGATTTTTAACATTTTGATAATATTTATGTGCAACTTATTTATTTTTGGTTAATGTGAATCCCTTGTCCTGTCATGCTCCTTACCTTCCATAATGATATGTGCACCCTCTAGCTTGCACATTTCAAGAGGTGGTTTTGTGTGATCAGTGGTTTATTGTGTCATCTGGATAGAGGGTACCACTGGTAGGTCTTACTATTTCCGTCTCCCTCTGTTGTTTCTGTTTGTCTTGCTTGTTTTTAGCACTAAGTGCCCATCATCAGGTCAATGTGCTTCTTTATTCCCTATACTCACACTCATTGTGTAGTTCTTCACAAATTATTTTCTTATTGCTGTTCAAAGTCTCATAGGATGGTATATATACTTATGGGTCAAAAGAAACATTCAACAAATATCATATGTATTAGAGAAAGGTAGTTGGAGACCAAAAGAAGCGAGGTACGAAGAGTGCTTGTTGGTTTTGATCTGGTAGTAAATTTTCTCAGATGGTAGAGATTTTTTGTTACTGATTTTTAAATAAGTTAAGATAAGATAAACTTTACAAAGCCTTAAGGGAAATTTTTGGTGGACCTACCAGAACATCAACATACAAAGATTCAGCACAATCTTCTGCAGTCTTGCAATGCCATGAATATTTCCAGAGTCAGACGTCATCCACTCAGGCTGACAACGCACCAAACTTGTTTGACTTGGGGGAACCGTCTGGGGGACAGGAATCCTTCGCTGACTTTTCTAATTTCCAGTCGGCTTCTGGAGGGGATGATTTCAATCCTCGTGGAAATTCTTCAGGTTAGTAAAAAAAACTTTTACCTTGTGGCCTGTCTTAGACTTAATTCTTTCTCAGTGTGTGTTACTTACACAGGAAGGAAAATGATAACAGAATGGAGATATACATTTTCCAATCAATTTTAACACGGCTTCCTAGAATTAAAAATTTTGATAGGTGTTCGTGAAATGCATTATATTCTGTTCTTTACTTAGTTTCTGATAAATTTTGAGACATGTAAATGAAAATTTGAGGGGTGTGGTACTAAAGAATTTTCAGTTCTGCTGCAATTGTGGGCAAGAACCTAATTGTTTTTGAGATCATGCAGTATGCTAGTGAAAAGTGTAACGAATCCTTAGAATGTTTTCCAAAGCAGACATTGTGTTTTATTCACTTTAAATGCTGCTGAATGGCTTGGAAAAAGAGAAACATAATATTAATGATTCAGAAGAGGAACCAAGAATTATGTCCTAAGCTTACTCAATAATATATGCAGCATGATTGAAAGAAAAGAGTATTTGCTGATAATAAAAGTTTGATTGGGGAAAGAAATTTTAGGAAATGGCAGACCATGTTGTCCTTTTAGTACAGTATAAAAGTACTGACTGTAATGTTAGTCTTTTATACATTTTTTCCATTTAGTCAATGTATGTAGAATATACGAAATGTGAATGGGAACTTTATGGCCTATTCTTATGGCGTAATAACTCTAATGACATTTTAGTTGGTTTTGGAATACTTAATTTTTTCCCCCCTCTTTCACTGTATATTATGGTCTTGCGCTTTCTTAGTGCTGTGTTAGCATCATTTGTGTTATTCCTTGTCTATTTTGAGCGGGAAAATAGTCCAGTGTGTCCGATCAATCAGTTAGGATAAAATGAAATAAATATGTCGTATTTTTCTTAATGTAGTCATTTGTTGTGTTTCAGGTGGCGACTTTGGTGATTTTGCTCAGTTTGGAACCGCAGCAGCAGCAGATACCTCAAGGTAGTGCAGAGCTAGCACATTTCAGGCTATAAAGGCCTCTGAGACCTTTTTTCGCTTTTCAAAACAAATATCCATTCTCCTTATTGTCAGTTGACAGGTTTGAAAATAAAGTGGTTGTTATGTTGTCATATTTTGAAATTGTGATTTGTGTACATTTGCTGGAGTGAAGAAATGTGGAAGAGCTTTGTGCCTATGTACTGCATTATACTTTCATAGCAGATGACTGGAGGGTGTTAATGGTTGCTCCTTCTTCTACCTTATCTAATAGTTTGAAAGGGCATAGAGCATGCTGTAGAGCATGGATAGGTGCAAATATAAATACAATTATTATAATAACTATTATTATCATAATTGTGTTGTTTTTGTCTGTTGCAATTGGTCTAAATGCTAAATAACAGTAATTGTGTCAAGTTGAAGTCTTCAACTTTATTTGAAATTAATCTTTTCTTCAAAATGTGACCATGTTTTCCTAATTATTGTAGATGAAGATATTTTTGGTCATGTCTAAGGTTTTGATAGTAAACCCAACATTTACCTCTTTGTTATCCCCTTTGCTACCAGTCCGTCCAGTGGATTTGCAGACTTCAGTCAGTTCAGCTCAGCCTCTACAACATCGCCATCATCAGCCCTGCCCGTGCCGGCAGCCCCCCTTGCGCCCTCCACATCTGCGTCTTCATCGGCGGCCAATGATCTGTTTGAGGTATTCGCTTCCCCAAACACCCCAACACTCACGCCCATGCAGCCTGCTGGGAATACCATGCAGCAGCCCACCAACCTGATGCAGGGCAGCAATCCCATGATGGGAAACAACATGAACCCCATGATGGGGTCAACGCCCGCCTCTGGAAGTATGGGCATGATGAGCGGCTCTAACATGACGGGCATGAACTCCAACATGGGAATGGGAATGCCACAAGGCAGCATGGGCATGCAAGGAACAATGGTAGGTACAGTATTTGGAGCTGACACGTCATTAACGAAGGTAGATGTGGACACTGGTTTTTACAAGCATGTTAGAAGTTATGCTGATGCTTTGGGTTGGGGGGGCTTCAAAGCAATTTTGAGATATCAGATGAACAGACAGATTCTCAACACTTTCTTTCCTGCGAAGATGTGAACACCATTCTGCCTCTCCTAGTAAAATGGAATGTTTAGGTTACACAAACTACAGGCTTGGTCGTAACAAAGGTCACAGGTGGTTTTGGGAAGGTCAAGGCTATATGAAAATTTACTTGCTGTGAATCTGAAACCTTCTGCAGCATGTCTTTTCTCCTTCTTGTTTCACCTCTTTTGACACATCATGTTTGAAGATAGTGTAAGCAGTTTAAAACCTTCCCTCTGTTTAGTCAGTGAAGCTGTAAAATGTACTTGTTTTTTACAAAGACAAGCTTCTGAAATGATTTCCTCTTTTGCAATAACTTTACAGTTTAGAATCTGTGATTGCTACCTTTGCCATTCCCTTTTCTGCTTTTCATGTCTCTATTTGTTTGAAGTGACAATCTCTGCACTGTTTGTCATTTTTTGTTTCAGATGCCAGGGATGGTTCCAATGTCAGGCATGATGCAACAAGTGAGTCATGAGATTCTTTGTTTTGTATCTTAGAGAAACATGCCTTCCCGTTTCCTGCTTCACCCTGTTTGTTTTTCTTATGTGGAGAAAGTAGATTTCATTTGGTTTTGCAGAGTAGACTTTTCAGACCCTTTCATTTGTAAGTTTGTGACAAATTATGTTACACTTTAAAGTGGACAAGTCAGCTAGAAAGTTTGAAGCGATTATCACAGAGATATATCTGTAAATGATGAGGATAACTATTGTTAACCCATCTGTCTGCAGGTCATTAATGAGTCGGGAATTAGCAATTGAGTCTTTAACAAATTTCACAATTTGTAAATGCAGGTTGTTCAGTGCTGAAGGGTTTCATACCAAAAGATCATATGGGATTTTGCTTTGCCATTTTTTGGGAGAGGGGGGGAGGGTAAGAGGATGTATGAATTTCTGCAATATAAAAGGTCCTGTATATAGAGTTGCAACTAATGTTTCTGAGTACTTCACACCTTTCAAGGTGTGTGTAGATTGAAGGTCTTATTTGACAACAGAAAAGCCAACAAATGTTTAACCTTTTCTATTGAACCGGGATTTCCTTTAGATTTGAAGAAAACCATTAGCATTTACTTGAAATAAAATAAAAGAGTTGCGAGTCTTCGTATGTTTTTCAGTTAAAAGATAAGTGTGACAGTGTATTAGGTACCGCTCATTTGCTCAGTTATCTGTATTTTTTTTACTCTTAATTTTTCATTGGGAGTGATGTTGCTTAGTTTGAGATGTTAATTTGACATGGACTTTTGCTTTGTGATAATAGATGATTCTTCAGATGTGTTTTCCTCTTTATCGATGCTTTGATTTCTGTCTTGTGGCGTTTTTTCATGTTTGCAGAACACTGTGTTCATCACTTTTCTTCACTTTTTCATTATTGTATCAATATTAGTGACAACCTTTTTTATTGCACAGTGCAAATGTCTACATAGTCTGAAAAAGTTATCTCTTTCAGCTTCAGTTTCTACACAGTTCTCATCTTATTAGTTATTCTTGTTGAAGTAACTGTTAAAAAGTTGAAGGAAATCTCATAGCCCAATAATCTGGCAAAAAACAGACTTTCTCATCTTAGTAAAAATTAAATAAGCTTTTGAAATCCCTTAAAATATGTGTTATAGAGTAAAATCTGTAACTAGGACTCCCCCTCCCCTCTCTGATTTCAGCAGCCAAATTCATTTCTCAACATTTTTTTTTAGTTAATGCCAGGTATGCTACTCTGGAAAACAAATATTGATAGAAGATGAATCATTTCCATTTTTCTAAGACATTGAGGTTTCAGGGTACTGAGATGAATTGGAAGAGATCTGAGTAGAATCTGTCTTGATTGTTGTCTTCAAGTTTTGAATATTGTTTTGCGTGTTTGTCTGGTGGTGTGTGACGTTGTCAGCCGAGGTCTATTGTGACTGTGTGTGCGTGAGGTGATATTGTAGTTGTGTCAGTGCTGACTGTGTGAGACCGCCCTGTGTGCTCCCCAGCCTATGATGATGCCCACCCAGCAGCAGAATACCATGATGAACCCGGCTATGATGGGTATGGGCGTGGGCCTCAGTCCCAGCATGCAGGTAATGAATGCCCGCAGCTTGACAAAATGATCTTTTTGGTTTTTTCTCTCGCCCCTTTTTACTTATGGCGTGCGTATTTGTCTAGGACTGTGTTTGCCAGTTTCTTCTGTTACTACTTTATTCTCTTTCTGTTATGCCTCATGTTTTGTTCCCTTCCTGCCTGACATGTACTTATTTATGACTTGTGCAGGCCTTTTGTTATTGTGTGTGATTTTCCTCAGGCGGTGTGTAGAAATGCTTGAGTACCTTCTTGTCTATGAATGGAAATGAATAGACAGACATACCCTTTATAGTGCCCTGTTTAGACAGCTGACCCCTTTTCCCTTTTATAATATTTTGGTTGACTTTGTCTGGTGCATGGAATTTAGTCTTTTGTCCTTTTCTCCCTTTTTTTTCAGAATTTAAAAATTTTTAAAGAAAATTGTGCTGTGACTTGTTTCTTTTGTTGCAGATCAACCTGTTGTGATTTGTCTTTTGCCATTTGCAATTTCATAAAAAGTGAAGACTTAATGGGCAAGGGGAAATATATTTTGTAAGGGCAAATTTTCTCTAGCATAGGAGTGGCGTCTTACATCTTTCTTTCTCTCTCTCTGTCTCCCTCTCTGTCTCCCCCCCCCCCCCCCTCTCTCTTTGTTTCTCTCTCTTTCTCTCCACCTCTCCTCTCTCGCGGTGATTTTTGTTTTTCATATGCTGTGCTAACAATGCACTATAAAGTAAAGCATTTTTGGACTGGCTTAGTATGATAAGATGTGAGGATTAATAATATTTGTTGCCTATGGCTTCAGCTAGAATAAAAGTTATATAAGATAGCACAAGTCTCCCCGTTCTATCTTCTGCTGGTTCTGAGACCGGAGATACTGCCAGTTGTAACCATGATGGTTCAACTTTTTATTTGGTCTGTCATATTTTCTTTACTTGTGTTTTCTTTCTTTGTGTTGCGTTTTATTCTCTGCACGCTCATATTGAGTAGGTGAAAGGTATGTCAGGTCTTTCTGTTTTCTCCTTATGTTTTTGTTGACCACCTGGTTATATTGACTAGGTGAAAACTGAAGCCTCTGTGACCCAGGGTCAGAGCAGCATCCAAAGCGTGTCGTCTACCGGAGAGAGTAGCAAGGTCTGTTACCTTCTGCAGCAAAGTCCCTCCCCCTTTCATAGTGCCCTAGCTGGAATGGACTGCCTGCCCCCCGACCCCCTGTTCCTTTTCTATTTTTACTTTTTATTTTATACCTTCCATTTTCTTTGCTTCATTGCTTGGCTGGATATTTAAGTGCCTGCCTTTCCCTCTTTTTACCCCTCCTAATACCCGTTGCATATTCTCCATAGCCTGCAAATATATTTGTGTACCGTCATTTCTCTTTGGGTCATGAATAATGTGTTGATCAGGCTTTTTCTTACTTTGTTTGTCTTTACCCGCATGATTGAGGGAAGATTTACTGATATAATGGTTTATTACCCTCAGGCACTGGTATTTTGTTGTGATTTACAAAAGCCAATGCCTTGTTCAAATGGACTAATCTGGCCTTGCAATGATAATTTCTTGTTTGTGTTGACATAATTGTAGTAATGTAGTTATAGATTAGGACTTTGCCTCTGGGTGGTTGGTGGGTGCTCTGGTATGGTTTGCCCCTTCTTTCCTATAAAAAATCTGCTATCTATTGTGCTGATCTCTCCTTCTTTTTTGTGATTGTTATTCTCTTGTAACACCTCTAATCTCCTGCACTTATATGACCTTATTGTGTTGCAAGTGCCATGAAACTCCTGATTAAAACTAAAAGGTTCTTGCCTGGAAGTAAATTCTGTTAGTTTAGAATAATTAATTACCTCTCAATACAACAAGCACACCCTGATATCAGAAACTCACCCTAAGATGGCATATGTTAATAATGACAATGCCTGCTCAGTGCACTAGATTTATTCTGATATTAGATTTAAAAAAGGAAGAAAATGAATGTTCTAGAAAATCAAGAAGACTGAGATAGGGTCTACAAATTTGTTAGGGACAAAAGAATTCTTCTGAATACCAAATAGTTACAAGGTTGGTTCATCTTTTAAGACTCCATAGACTCCATTGCATGTCTGGAGTTTTGACTTAATTGACAGTTAATGTGGTGTTTTGTTTTGACAACCTGCAGCATATACAGGCTGTTAGTGTTAGCTCTTTGTCATGGGTGTCTCAGTTTTCCTCAAACACTTATTCATGGGTGGTTGGTGGGTGCTCTGGTGTGGTTTACTCCTTCTTTCCAATCAAACAACTATCGTCTTTGTCTCCTTTCCTTCTTTTTTGTGTTTGTTACTCTCTTGTAACACGTCTAATCTGCGGCACTTATATGACCTTTTTTGTGTTGCAAGTGCCGTAAAACTCTTATGATAAAAACAAATTAATTAAATATTTATTCTGATGTCCAGGTTAGTTTAACTGCCGAAGTATAATTGACAAGATTTGTGTTTTTTACGCATGTGCATATCGGTCCATGCATGTGTTGGCTGAAGGGTGTCTTTGGTCTGTCCAATGTCTTGGCTCATGTCTCTGTTGTGGTTTTTGTAGCTGTTACATGAACTTTTGTCAGTGGGGGTGGGTGGAGAGTGCTCTCATGTGTTTTCTTCCATGCATAATTCTTTTTCTGTGTTTTTCTTGTCATAATCTGGACCTGACAGAATGGAATTATTACTGTGCTGACTCTGTCTGTAAACTTTATATTTTCTTCAACTAAGCTGTCAGGGCTGGCGGGTAGTTGGGGAGTGCCACTGGTAGGTCCTACTTCTTTCCCTTCCTTCTGTTGTTTCTGTCTGTCGTGTCTTACTTTTCCCCAGCACTGAATGACCGTTATTGTGTCGATGTGCTTCTCTTTACTCAAACAAACAAACTGTCAGGGCAGGTAGTTGGAGGGCGCCACTGGCAGGTCCTACTTCTTTACTTTCCCTCTGTTGTTTCTATCTGTCTGTCTTACACCAAATGATTGTTGTTGGGTCGATGTGCAAACAAAATTAGCAGTTGGTGACATAAACTTCTGTTTTCTTCAAGTGGTCATTGCGTTAAACTTTTATTTCTTTAACCAAGCAGCCAGTGAGTGGTCTTTCTGAAATGAAATAATTTCTATAACAGTGATTAAAAAGTATCCTTTGCCTTAATTTGTCTCTATTCTTAGGTTTTTCTTGGGAACACTTTGCCGTCACATCTTGCTGATCAGTTTCTTTGGATTTTCCCCAAAATGCCTTTGCCTTTGATGGCAAGAGTTTTTACTTTTTGGGCCTTGTGATGGCAAAATGTTAAACAGCTATATCTTTAGTAAATGGCAAGTGAAGGGAAGGTTTTCAATATGCAAAATGCTTGGACTTGCATAGTATCGTGTAACCACTTTGTTCTATATATGCACCTTTCTGTTCATCGATGATCACAATCTCTACTGTTACTGTTAGTAGCCTGTCTTGTTAAACTTCCTCCATATCCTTGCTGTGGCCTTCTCAACTGTTTTATTGCATTTGGGACTGTTTAATTTGCATTCAATATACAGCGTTGGATGTTCATTTAAAGAGCTTCTTGGGTTATTTTTCCGACTTTTGAAATAATCCTACTTTACAATTGCACGTTCATAATAAAATTTGCTTTTTTATGGTATGTCATTTTTACTTAACCATGACCATGCTATGTTTTTGCTTTTTTATTGGTCTATGTTCTTAAAAGTGAAAGTAAAAATACTTTTTTGTTTATTGTGAAAGAAATATAGACACTCCCAAAAATGTTATATAAATGGTACATCAGTAATCTCTTTAGAAAACCAGGTATTTTAGTCTGGTAGGATAAACCCAGAAGGCGCCCATTTCACGCTGTTGCAATCACCCACTCGGTGAATATGAAATAGCTGTAATGTCCGTATGCTAATATTGAATTTGTGAGGGAGTTACTGTGATACCTTGATTACATATTAAGTTAGCATTGTCGATTAGTTTTGGTCTTTGACTTTCCAATAACAATTAAGTGCAGATGAAGAATCATTTTGTGCTGGGCTTTTAACATGCTATCAAGTTTCCGAGGAGCAAAAAGGTTGACAATTCCCTGGCACTTTGACTTTTTAGAATTTACACAAATTAGAATTTGGTATTACTATTAATGCATTTGTAATGATTCGTATATTAAAGAGCTTTTGTTAAAAAAATCCTTTGATGGTTTTTGGATTCTAAAAGTTAAGCACAGATGCTCTTATCTTGTACTGACAGCTAGATATGCTTTTGTAGTCGGTAATGTCACCCATATACATAGACATTTAGATATATGCACAAACATTCTTTGTTTAGAGCTCATTGTGGATGTCATAACTATGTTTTCAGAAAAATAATACTTGGACTGACTCCTCTGCTAAAGTTAACATTAGTCTGGAAGGACTGACACCGGTGGGCTCCAAGTTCCAGAAGCAAAACTCTCAGACTCCCTCACTCAACCAGATCCAAGGCACAGGCATGGGCACAGGTGAGACACGTTTATTGCTTTGTATCTGTTCTGTGTGAAATGTGTGTTGTCTTTAGCCATCCATGGTATTTTTTGGTTGTGAATTTGACAGAAACATGAAATTTTGGGATTGAAATATATGAGTAATGTCTTGATTTTTTAAATCATCTTTTCTCCTAAAATGTTTTCTGTTACTGTGGTGTTCAGTTTAGGCCCCACCTTTGAAATGATATCGTATTTGTCTTGGAAGCCATTAAATTTCAACAAGAACAAAGCTGCGACCAGCAATTCCATCTTTGAGAGTGGCTGAGACCCTTCTGAATAATTCTGTGATGAGGACACTTGTTCGTCCTTGTTGCAATTCCTGTAGTTTATGAAATAATACAATTATTTATAGGATACTTATTAGCTTTTTTACTTGGTGAGAAGATTCTAATACTTATATTTTCTTTTAGATAGTTGTGTGTCTTCACTCTATCTGCATTCTATCTTAGAACTAATTCTTGTTCCTGTTTCTAATTTCCCACACACACCAAGGTGTAGTAATGTGGTATCCAGACATGTACACAGGTAGGAGGCTGCTCATTCCGTTTCCAGTTCTCATTTTCTTTGAGCAGTTGAGCATGATAGTTTATTCTCCATATTATTATTGTTTGGGATGATATGAATCATCGTGAGGAAGCTGCCTGTTCTGTATTTGCTTTATGTGTGTTAGGTCAGGTTTTTGGATGAGAGCAGTGGGTGGTTGATGGGTGCTCTTGTTTGATTTACTCATTCTTTCCTATCCAAACATCCATCAATCTTATCTCTCCTCCTTTTTGTGTTTGTTATTCTCTTGTAACAGCCAATCTTCAGCACTTATGCGACCTTATTGTGTTGCAAGTGCCATAAAAATCTTACTTAAACTAAAACTAAATAAGATGAGAGCAGATTTTGTGTGACCTAATGCATTTGTAGGATCATGTGGACTATACTGAAGTGTTAACTCGATTGTGATAATGAAAATTGTCATGCAGGCCACTAAGAATGAATAAGTAGATTGTGTTGTGCAATTTTCCATTCTTCTGGTTAGGTTGTCATTAACTGTATTTTTCTGTCACAGCAACCTACCTCAAATTTCATATCATCTCAAAGGAAACTTGGTTGAGCATCTATTTTTAGTTTTTGGTTCAAAGACTCCACAAAGTGTTTGAAAGGTTTCAAGCTTCCATTTCATGCTACTTCAAAGTCATGCTTTTTTTCCCCGCACCAATAGGAAATTTAGCTGCTTTCACTCGGGTGCAGCTACAATGTCTGTGCACATTGGCATACTGTACTGAGCTTGGCATGAAATGTTTCCCTCCAAACTACTATGTTTTTATTTTTACATCCTTGTGTCTTTATTTTGTGTACATGGTTTTTAAAAATTAATATATTTTATCTTTCCATTGTGCACAACCTAGTGAATGATACTCAAATAATTTCTTTATTTTTCTTACTATTCTTCTTATTGTCAAATGTTGTTTCTGTTTTGATGCATATTTCCCCTCGTACTTTGTAAGGTAGACTGGTTTCAATGTGGATGGGCTTTTTGAAGCACTTGATAGTGAGACAAGGATTAGTTTGTCCAAGTCTAGTGGTTACAGTTGACTGGATTGTTTTGGATATGCCTGAGAATTTTGTGTTGTTCTATTTAGGATGCTGGCTGTGTAGCTGTGTCCCCTACATGTAAATGTCAATATCTGAAGGGAAAGAGAAATTTTGTTGTTGGCTTTTAAAAGCCTTTTATCATGACTAATTTTCAAATTGCAGTTCATTTTTTTTGTATTGCATGTTCTGTGTGGAAACTTAAAAAATGTTTAGTTTCGCCTATTTAAATTTTTTTTTGGGGTTGTAGCTGTGGTAGCAATGTTACACCCCCCCCCCCCAAGGAATAATGATACTTAAAGAGGTTTACAGGCGCTGCCTAGTTCTCTGCTCAACATTAGAGGAGAAACTTGTAATCTGCAGTTGGCTTGATATGATCAAAGTTCTGGTGATGTAATTCAGCAGCAAGCTCTTTGCAGTTAGGTCCTGAGCAGGTGTATTGTAGTGGTCAAGATTTGTTAATGCCCTGGGAACTGCAGACGTCTTGTATTTTGCATTTTTTGTTTGTGGTGCAGAATCATTGTCTATGATACCAGCCTTTTTGTTAGGTAACGTTGGGATCCCAAGTTTCTTTTGTTGATCCAGGCAAAGGTTTCATGATTTAAAGGAAATGGTTCCCCTCTCTTTTGCTGGAAGTCCATTGTCACTGAACATGACTAAACTCCTTCCGAGTGCTTCCTGGATGTATCAGCAATGTGGCCTTTCTAGATGGATGCTCATAACATAAAACTTAGGTCTGAAAGAGTTTCTAGAAAGATTGGATGGTTGGGATGCAAGAAGATTATTGAGAGAAGTATAGCACTGAGAAGCACAGAAATGTATCAGGTACTAATTACAATGTCACAAATATATTTTTTGCATGATTGTTAATACCTCATGTGTTTCTTTGTTAGAATTATTTTCTCTTTCTACCATTTTGCATCATTGTTCTTCATTCTCTTTTTTTTTTCTTTCTCAGCTGTTCAAACGTAATCTCACATTTTCATTGTTCATTGTATATAGTTTTGCATTTTTTCTTGTTTCATCGAAATGTTGCATTTTTTCAAACCTCACTGTTCAGATTCTTAAGTTATCTTTGTTATGTATGATCTGTCAAGTCATTGTCTTATGGAGTGCATGTAATTTTTAAAAGCTTTTAAAACTGCATCTGATATTGTCTTGCTACTGTGAATAATGTAGCGTTCATTTTGTCCTTCAGTAGATGTTTTACTTTGCGTGGAAGTTAATAATACATCACTCTTTACTAAAGTTTGCAATTTTGTAATTACAGAATCTCTGTCCTTTATTCTATAATACGAAAACAACAAGCTGCTTTTCACAGTTCTCACTTTGTTATCAAATGTACCTTGAGAAAAGTATCGACTTTTAAACCAGTGTATTTCTTCTTTATTTTTGTGTGTTGAAGGTATGGGCATGATGTCACCAGGCATGAGTGGTCTGAACCAGGGCATGTCCAACATGTCCCTACAGAGCCCAACTGCTGGCCAGCCTGTGATGGGAGCCATGCCAGTGATGGGTTCAGGGCCCAGGCCAATGATGAACAACATGGGTAAGTTGGCAGACTCTGATATCACTTCAGAGCACACCTCATACACACACACACATATAATATAGTGTAAAGCGCATAGAGCCTGCTGTTGAGCGGGGATATGCGCTATACAAATGCTATCTATTATTATTATTATTATTACACGGTCACATTCACACACACTCAAAAACATGCACACACACATGCAGGTACATGCTCTCTTAGAGACAGTGTTGCTGTTATTCTAATCTCTTTGCGGTGAAATAAATTTTTGGGTGCTGTAGTGTTGTCTGTTTAAAAAAAATAAAACTTCTTCTCATTGTTATTGTTCTTTAGACTTACTTCTAGTGAAATTTGGCCCTGGTAAAATGCTGAGACAGCCACTTACAAAAAACTAAAAGAAGCAGAGTACCTACCATGCACTCTCTGCGTTATAACGGCCAAATTTCATAAGACAACAGCAACAATGAAAAGATTAAAAAAAAATTTATGATCCTGACCTATATAATCAAGTTTTGGTCATTTTGGAGACTGGCTACTTCGTCCCAGTAGACTGTAAATGCTCGATAAAAATATTCTTGCTGTGGAATCGCACCCACATTTTGTTTGCAAGGGGCAGAGCCTTATTGCTACACTACAGTCCCCTGGTGGGACTGTTATCCCAATCTGTTCAAGTAATGTGTGGGTGTCAAATTTCTGACTTGCTGGTACCTTCTTTTTAATCGTTTTTCTTTTCTCGTTTATACATGTGGGTTTTTGGTGGGTGTTCTGATGTGGTTTGCTCCTTCTTTCCTTTCAAAGGGGGATAGTAACATGTTCTTATGCACAGTAGAATAAGAATTGTAAATGGGCTGAATTATCAATGTCATGCTCATACTGTGCCGGAACAACATAGGGGGGGAACTGCTGCTTTTTCTTTCTTCATCCTTACTATTATCATTTTTCTTTTACTTCTGTTTGTTTTTCACACTCTTATGAATTGCTATTTCCGGGGTGCCTTGATAGTCGAAGCAGACTTTGTGCTGTTGAGGCAAGAGAGGTGAGCAGAGTAAGCCTGATTCCCTGTTTGAACTTCTCTGTTGACATCCACCCCTTGGCTCTTATATGACCTTATGCAGTTGCGAGTGCCGTAAAACCTTACTAAAACTAAAAAATATCTCATTGTCCATATCTCTTCTTTGTTTTTTTTTGTGTTTGGTACTATCTTGTAACACTTTGTCTTCAAAACTTTTATGATCTAATTGTATTGCAAGTGCTGTAAATCTCGTACTGAAACAAAAAAATGTTTCATCCTTTACTAGGCATGGGAATGAACCAGGGCAATATGATGGGAGGTCCACAAGGAATGGGCATGCAGATGTCCATGAGCTCAAACATGTCTGGCAACGCCTCCTTTCAACATCGGACGGACACAGCGTTCTCCACTTTTGGCAATGTAAAACAATAAATACTAGGGCCACTGAGAATTTCACATTTATTATAACATTGGGAAAAAAATTGATATTGTTAATTTTCTTTTTCTTAAACATATATAGAATTTGTAATAGTTGTATTTTCAAACACTCAGATTATTTAAAGATGAGCTTGTGACCTGTGTTCTTTTCGTAACTTACATGAAACAGAAAGACTCTCTGCTTGTCAGACTTGTTTTTCTGACTTTACTTAAAAGCTCTTATTTAGAGTATACAAATAATTCTGATAATCAAATTTGTCACTTGTATCAAAATTTTTATAGATTTTTTTTGTGCAATGTCAGTTATTGGTAGTGTAAGAGTACAAAAATGATATTTAGTGTACACTACAGGTTGAAATGATGTGTATGAATGAGTGCTTCACTCTCTCGCACCTCAAGGTTTCTACTGTGGTTTTCATGCTTCAGATGTATTCTTATGATATAATGGTGTTTTTTCAAGTCATGAACAAAGCCTGTGATTGAGAACTGGACCTTGTGGTGAAATGATTCCCATCGAAAGTAATCTATACTATAATGTTGTTTCAGTCGTACGCATCCTCTCAGGATTTCCATCACCACCCCTTGTATAATATATCATTATTCCTTGTCAATGTCTATACTTCCCAGTTTGTACAAAGCTTATCATAATTGCAAATGTGCGTGTTGTGGCTGTATACCACGGATCAAATATGAGGTGGAACGACTTGTTTGCGTTTCTGTTTCCTGCGTTTTGGGGGCTGAAGTTGTTAAGTGTATGGTGGACACATTCCAGTAGTCTGTTGTGGTTGTGGGGGAAGTGTGATCCTTTGTCTGCTATTTGAATGGCTGTGCTGTGTGGATGGTCCACTGCAGCGTCTGTTGATCTCTGATGCCTTTACCTTACAGTTTGTACTTCCTTACCTTCACTAAATGGCACAGAGATTGCTTTTTTAAATCTTTGTCTTTTTAAATAGCTTCCAGCTTTTTCATCATTAGCTGCAGAAGTAATATTGCTGCTTCAGTATAGAGAAGGGATATATATATACATGGAAAAGAATGGTAAGACAGCCAAATGCTAATCTTTTTCTAGAGGAGGATATTTCCAGTACTCTTGTGGACGTTGTAACAACACAGGCTCAGCTTTTCTACATTGTGCAATTATAGTTTCAAGTAAGATGCTGTGGTAAAGGAGAGTGCACAGTTGTTTGAACTGTTAATGCCAGATTGAGCATTTCTTTTTGTGACAACTAGGTCTTTTCAGGTTCAACCTTACACTAGATATGAAATCAATCACAAATTATAATATTTATGTAGTGCAAGTGTAGTAAAACTCTTACAAAAAACAAATAGTAGGACATTCTAAGACAGAACTGCGCATTGACTGCCCAGTGCTGTCCTGGCGTTCAGAATTGATGTGTGTCATGAGCTAGTGCTTACTTCTTTTTGTTGTGCTTCCTGATGGAGTCCTCTGCAGCTAAACAAACATCTTTTCAAGTTTCTCTTCGTCTCTTGATTAGAGACCATTCACTGCAATATTTGTGTAGCCCGTGTGCGCCCGGCAGTGCTGAGTGGAAGTAGCCCGGTCCACCCAAAGGGTATGTTCCTGTAGTGCTCTAGTTGAGAAGCAGGTTGTGTACATGTCTTATACTTAACTATGTTTTTTTGACCATTGAGTACTGTTGGGTTAGATGGAATCTGTTTAGAAGGACTTTAGACTGCCACAGCAATGCTTAGCCAAGTTTATAGATTGTTATTTTAGTCTGTTGGTTTTATTTTATTGCATATGGTTTGTATACTGCTCTTTGTGATTTTCATTGTTGATGACTCGGATGCCAATGCCACTGTGTGTTGTATATCATCAGATGGTTTCTGAGAAAGGGCCAAGCTTTGTTTTAGGATGTGCTATCTTGGTCTGTATTTTACTTATTGGAATCACTATTACGTTAGAGTTTTGACCTATGCTGTTCTTATGCTCACTTTATAGTGTACACACATTTGTCTGACCGCCAAATCACTTGGTAAAGTTATATTTGATATGTTCTGTATTTACAGAGTTGATGCCTATTAGTTTTGTCTTTTATGAGTTTGAGAAATCAAGTGAGTATTTTGTCAGGTGCAGTGTTGTTCATTTTGTGCCTGCAGGGGTGGAACTAACCCCCTACAGTTGAGTAGGCCTAGAGTGCTTATATTACAATGAAGGCAGTCTGATGATCTGATTTGCTTTAGACAGCCAGTCTGACTGTATAGAATGAACTGATCACTCTGATAGTAACATTTAAATCTCCTGGTCTTCGTTCATTGCGATGATCACAGCAAGCTGGGTTTTTTTGTTCCTGAGAGACGGAACTGCAACCCTAGATGTTGTGTAAGGGGGGGGGGGAGGGGAGACGCTGGCAGGCTAGGATGTACGTTATGTTTACCATTGTCCCCAGTTGTGAAGTAGTTTGAGCTTGATTATGTGTGTAAACAAACACATTTGCAGGTCTGAGATGGTCATATTGGAAGCTTCTATACCAATTTTCTTGAGTGTGTGTAAATGGCATCAGGTTCTTTCTCGTTCGGGACCAAATGCAATGTACTGTGTGTTTTAAATTTTATTCATTTGGATGTCTACAAATTCTCCTTTCACCAATCATGTGCTATGGACTACAGACTACAGCTTTAATTGAACAAACCACAGACTTGCTATACCACTGCCTTCTTTATCATCTTCAGTAAAACAGTTCATGTAAATGTAAGTTGTCCACCATTTCAACTTTCAAAACGAGATGATGAGTTTGTCTGAGGAAGAGCAAGTTGTATTATTTTACACTTTGCAGATACTCTGCTCTGTTGTTATGTATGAAAATTCTATTTTGCTGATATGTGAAAGATTGTGGTTTGTCAAATGATGGGTTTGGCTTCAACTCTTTGATTACACAAATGTGATACATGAAATTTATCACATGATTCACAAGTTTGTTCTGCAGCATAATTCTCTTGAAGGAGACTGTTCAGTGATGTTTTTTTTATAAATCTGTTGTACATCTCTGTTGGCTGTCAAGTAGTCACTGCTGTCTGTTTCTGTTGATGTTGATGGGGATTGGTTCTTATCATAGTTTGACTACACTCTGTATAATTATGTAATTGAAACGCAAATTATTATTTGTACAAAGTGATCACATGATATGCAAAGTCATAATGACTTGATTGATAACTCTTTTCTGTGTTCCTATTATGCAAAGCTCTTGTAATCTAAGACAGATTGTCTGAACAAGTTGATGTTTGATACATCTCAGTATTCATGTTGTGAAGTCCTTTTCATTGTGCATTGTGCCTGTTGTTGTGTATGACTATGAGAGACTGTGGGCCTGCAGACAGGATTGTGTGTGCACTGTCAATAAAGATTTTAGTACTATCTTAAATAGATACCCTGTACTCTATTCTGGTTAATGCTGCATTGGGGCTAATCTTGCAATATTATGCATGCAGATTGCTAGCATATAGTCAGAGCTCAGAATATGTGTGAATGATGTCTATATGGCTTTGGTCAATCAGTACCTTTTGAACCTTTATTTCCTTTACCCATCTCCCTTGGTTTGCGTACAAAGTGACAGATTTTAAAAAGAAATATTTATTGATGGGCTGTGCATATCTTATAAATTAATAAAGGAAATGATATGTTTTGTTTTTGTGAATAATGGGAAATAATAAAAAGTACTGATTATATGCAGGACTTGTGCTTTTGCTGCCTTCAACACGTTCCATAGCTGGGGCTCTTGTGGTCTACAGGTAAAGATGTTTGCCTCTCATTCAATAGGTCTCGGGTTCGAAACCTGACTCGGAGAATTTTCTGCTCTAAAATGTTCTCCTTTTTCCTCCTTCCCTGCTTTCTAACCGTGTTCTGTCGCCTATTGTCTCCAATTTCTGCCCCTACTCACTCTCCCCTCCTCTGGGCTCCTCTCTTTCTGCAGCCTTATTACTGCTACTCCTTTGTTCCTTCTTACTGCTGTCTTTTAGCCACGCCCCTGATCTTATGATAGGTAAGATCCAACACCTAGCCTTCTCGGAAAAATGGCGAAAAATATTGGAGGTCCCTTTTCTGCAAGTTGTGCACGTACTTGAGACCTGATTTTATGTACAGAGCCACAGGAAATTGTTTAAACTAAGTTAAACTCTCTTCAAGGAACATTTTCCTAGCCTTTCCTGCCCCAAGAAACTAGACCCAGAATTGGAATAGAAAACGTAGTCGAAGAATTTTTTTTACATCAGTCACAAAGGCAGTATTTAAATCGGAAATGGCTGCAAATATGAATGTTTGCATTGCAACCTGTTCAACGCATTTTACTGGGATAGTAGTGATTCAAGAGGAAACAGACTACATTTCAATGCAAAAAGTGTGTGGTAGGTATAGTCCTCTGTGTCCCTGGCTGCTTTGAACTGTATCAGTGGCGTTGGTGGCCAAGTGGTTAGGCTACCAGACTTGTAATCGTGAGGTTGCGGGTTCGGAGGTTCAAGCCGCGGGCCAGATGTTGTGTCCTTGGGAAAGGCATTTTGAATTTTCCTCACTTCACCCAGGTGGGAATGAGTACCTGGCCAAGGAGAGCGAAAGATCTTGACTGTATGTTAGTGTTTTAGCGCCTATAAATGGCTGCTTGCATTGTATGCTTCCCAGAAAGTTGAGGTTGTTTCAGAATGCTCTCAGGTCGGCTGGGGTAATAGTATAGATTGTGAAGCGCATAGAGCTTGCTGTTGAGCGGAGATTTGTGCTATACAAATGCTATCTATTATTATTATTACTCGCGCTAAGGCTATGAGAAATTTGACACCTCAACGTCAGGAACATCACAGATGCAAATTCCTCTGACAAACAAACAAATCTATGTATGACAAGGTATTGTTTTGCAAATTTTTATCTAGTTTTTTCTTCACTTAATTTCCAGTTCATTGTTTGGTTCATATTTCTATCTAAAAAATTAAAGTGATAAGTATTTTTCATTACCCACCCTTATTTTCATGTTCTCAAAAATCAATTCGCCACTTGGGGACTGGACAGTGCAAATTAATTCGCCTTTTGAAGGGTTAATCCTTTCCAAACTAAAAATGTTTAATGTGTCCCATGCGCTCATATGACCTTATGCAGTTGCAAGAACCGTGAAACACTTTAAAAAACCCCAAAGACCTTTCACAGCTACTTTGCATGTTGCCTGCCTTCTTCACTTTGTCCTTTTGACTTTCATGCTGAAAAAAATAGAGTGTGAACCTTAAAATGTGCAAAATATAAAGCTATACTGATCTTGCCACACTAATTAATTTCACCAAAAAAAAAAAAATGTAAGCCACTGAAGAGAAACGCAGGAAATTTAGAAGTAAGCCTTTTATTTCAATACAGCAACAATGCATTGCACAGATTTTACAATTTCAGAAAGATACATCAACATGCAAATATATATCTCCAATCCATAGTCTCTCCTTATCCATGCCAAAGTACATTTTTTCTTTGTAGCAGCCGAAAATTATTTGTTTGTGTGTATATTATATATGAGGACGTAATTTTTCTTTGCAAATCGACTTGAACCAAAGCAGAAGGAAGGAAAGCAAAACAACTGATCCTGCCAACAATCTTAAATACCACTGGTCAAACATTTCTGCTTCATATATACCCCTGAAGCAAAAAGAGGCACAATCGAGAAAATGATTTTTTCCCCTTGAAACAAAAGAAATTACGGATAAAAAGCATGGATCCCTACATTAACTTCTCAGAAAAATTTCACTGTTCAGCCAAACATTGTTGACTATACCGGTACTCAAGACCACAGACAGACTTCACGGTGACCGTAAAGATGGTTCCAGTAGGGAACTGGATAGAGGGTGCCCACGTCCCTAGTGACTCATTGGAGTAGAGGGAGATAGGACTAATGCTAACATTACTTAAACGCAATCCCACATCATCACTCATCACCACCATCATATCTAAAATCATCATCTTTCTCAGATCAATAACTGATATCTATAATCCTGGAATCTCTATCTGCTATTACAGTCACTTGTTATACTTAATATGCACAGAATACACTATTGGACACTTTCATACACACTTTTTTCTACTAATCAGATGGCGTCAATCTCATATCAATGGGCAAAGGATAATAAAAAAAGACCACAGACAGCATAATTTGCATAATTGTTGACTTAAGTTCACAAACAATGTGGTACTGAAGTGGCAGCCCTAAGAAGTTAAGACTGGGAGACCCTAAGACAGTAAAACAGTTACATTATCTTTCTGAATGCACTACATTTTCATAAGGTCATTTCCAAATCCAACAAATATGCTGACATGCCACTTCAATGTGCTTTACTAACATGATAAATCGTTTTCATAACACCCACTAAATTGACAATATAATATAAACAAACAAATTCATCCTATACTTCATGAATAATAAAAATTATATTGCATAAGAGATTAAATGTTGCAGAGTCATAAAAGAGCAGTTGTAAAAAGTTCTGGAGACATCACATCAGGTTTCTCTCACATATTCAAAGAGGTGAAGAGGAAATTGAAAGCATTAAATATAAGCTATTCCTTTAATGCTCATAATTCTCATCTCAAAGTATTCCATTAAATACAGTGAATATCCCAGGAACAGCACCAAAGCATACCGTGAAAGTGTTGAGGCGAAAGCGCAGACTGTCATGAGGTCACTTGAGGCTGTGCAATAAATCTCCATCCTTATTTCACTGAATTGTGCACCTTAAAATTTGATGGCTTCCATATATATGATGGATAATCAATTCATGCCAATATATGGATTTCAGTTCTACATCAACAGGTCTAATTTTTTTTTTCCAGAATGAACTAATTATGCATTTGATAAGAACAGTGGTGTACACATATGCAGCTCACAAATTCTTAACCCTATGAGGCATGCCATAGCCTCAAGTGTTCAGCAAAGAGTATAACTCGTTGACGAGGAAAAAAACCGGATTCCACTAAATCGAAGACCTAAGTTCTTATGGAAAATCCATGCATTGGAAAAATACTCATTTTCGATACATAAATCAGTTTCTCTCCAGCTATGATACTATAACAAAATATATTGGGAATTCCATAAACTGCACCTCAAGACAAATTTTTATAAGAAGCTGTGCAAACCTGAAAAGTGTCTATAATTAAACACTGCTGATATGCTTTTTGACACAAACTCTTCTTCAGAACCCCAAAAAGAGACAAGACCAATGTTATAGGTCATTATGCATAAATTTACAGCAATCAACAGTTTGTTAGGAATATATTCCATGAACGGTTACACCATTGTTTTTACTTTACCTTCCTCCACCCAATATCAATTAGTAAGAGTCACAGTCAATCAATATTTCACAAACTCAGTATGTTAGTAACAATAGAAATAAATAAAGACCATACTAAAACACTTCAGTGTTGGAAACACAGCCCTCTTCAACAATAGAATCTGGGCTTTTTACCATCTACATAATGTCCTTACAACAGAAACATAGAACATCCACTGGCATTGTGCAAAAATATAAAGCTGTGTTTTCAGATTTGCTATTATATCACAATCAACACTACTCACTCGCAAACATTCAATAATAAAACTCAATTTCTAAACAAAATATAAAACAAATGTCGAAAGGAATTTTATGTGGGCACATGTACAATTGGCCCTCCATATAAAAGGAAAAGTAACATGATTTCCTGGAATATGAAAATCCTCCGACGCTCAAATCCCCCTAGTACAGGAGAAACTCCAACAGAAACCAATTTCTTGCGGAACAAAAAGAAGAAGTTACATTACAAGACACTTCCATCTGCTTCTAGGAAACCTACAGACACAGCCAGCACACTGCACAATCAACAACACACACCAGACTGAAGTATCATCTTGTAAACATCATATTTCTTTCCACTCTCACATCTAGACAGACAGCTGCTTCGTTGACAGATATGTGCTTTGCAACAGTCATGGACAGTGTAGCTAGAGGTGTTTAAGTTCAAGTGGAAATAACTTCACTACAGAATCCTTTAAGAAAATGTGTAAATCAATTTCACATAAAATAATATTAAAATTTAACTGAAAAAAATATATTTGGAAAGACACATTTGTTCCTACACTGCATAAGGCACAACAAGTTTAATCTGAGACCTGCCAGATTTTAAGGTTGGAGTCCTGTCCGGCAGTGACGATGGTATTGTTGTCCAACCAGGAAAGCCTGTTGATGTGGCTGAGTGGGTGAGCTGAGTAAGAAAAAACAACAACACATCAGTGAGTTTTGGGTACGGGAAGACACCATGATAGCAGCAAAGACACATGTTCATAACTTTCTGACACAAAGTCACACCATGATAGCAGCAAAGACACATGTTCATAACTTTCTGACACAAAGTCAAACATACAAATTAGATCTGAAAACTGCTAAAATGATTATTATAACTTATCCAATTTTTTAAAAGGCATTCCGGTCTTACTACAAGTTTGATATTGCAGCCTGATTAAAAACAGATGTAGTATTTGTAGAGAGGCAGGAATTTCATTTGATTCTACTGGATGAGTGAGATAGTCAAATTATATGATGGCACATGATAAGTAAGCAAATTTGAAAATGCAGAAACACCTAGGCAGTACGTACTGTGTACATTAATTAAACTTAGGTCCAAAGTAAATTTTTAGTCCACAGTCCCACGATAGTAACCTTTGAATGCCACAGCTACAGCAGACATACATTCACGTACAATGAGAGGACAAAATAACAGTCCTCAATTGGAGCTGAATACTTTTTTCTTTTAAATTTTCTACAAGCTCCAAATATCCAATCTTTCAGCCCAACACATGACATGAACACAATAAATTGCCAACCTTTGACAGATGGTTTCTTGCCAACAAATTTGCCCTGCTCCCAAATAATGATGTGCGAGTCCACACTGCCGGAGGCAAATCGCCTTGAGTCTGGGGACCACTGGACACTGGTCACTTTAGCAGTGTGTTGTTCTCCCCAGCCACCAATGGATTCCTGAGGAACGGTAAACGAAGTCAGATAAACGTCAGTGACATGACAGGCTGACACACCTGATCTGGCAGTTAGACAAAACCAGCAGTAGGCACTACAAGTACTTCACGTCTATCCGTTTAGTTTTAGTTTGAGTAAGAGTTTTACGGCACTTGCAACAGAATAAGGTCATATAAGTCCCGAAAATTAAAGGTGTTACAAGAGAGTAACAAACACAAAATAAAAGGAGGAGAGATCAAGACGATAGATGCTTGATAGGAAAGAAGGAGCAAACCACACTAGAGCACCCACCAACCAATAACTATCCATCTGTCAATTTCATGTGGTCTTACTTTGTCCCTCAGCAATATTAAAAACATTTATTGTGTTCAGGCTCTTCTTAGACAAATTTGTCCTCTTGACTGATGTATTCATATTTTTGTTAAAAAAGACAACAGAGGCAACCTGTCACAATGACAACAGAGAGAAACTGGGTATTTTCATTCAGTGCTGACATTGTCATAAATTCTAACACGTTTTGCCAAATCAGCAAACAGGAAAAAAACAACAACCTAAAAATGAAATAAGCACAGAACTAGAATGGGAATACCTTGAAGAGAGTTGTACAAAGTTGGGAAAACTCTGTACTAATTTTTATTTTACTACCAAAGAAACACACAGTACCGGTAACACAATATTGGAACTATGGAGGTAGAGAATGCATGACAGAAAAACACTGCTTGATGACAAAGACAAGAAGCAGCCAAAATATTTTTTTTACTTTCTCTAAGTTCACAGACAACTGCTCATTACAACACACAGGATAAAGTAATATGAGGGAAGCACGGAACCAACGACCTCGAGGTACAGAAATGAAAGATTTGTTTGTTCAACATTTCCAGACACGTGGGCCTTCAAAATCAACGAAAAGAAGTAAACTCAAGTTGGAAGCTTCTTCAAAACACAGAACTATTTACAGAATGAATTGCCAAGAGCTGAGCTGCAGACTAGTGAACCCTCCAAATCTTAGTGAAAACAGTGTCCCGCCAACTATCGTGCCAGAACTCGTCTGCACGGACATTTCAGTAACCCACTTTCAGCACTTTTCAAGGACCCCCAGGCGACTAAAGTTCCTGTGTGCTGTCGGCATCGCTGATTGTTTATGACGCTACAGCGCCAGAAGAGAAAGAGAGAGACAGAGAGAGAGAGGGAGAGAGACAGAGAGACAGAGAGAGAGAGGGAGAGAAAGAGAGAAAGAGAGAGAGAGAGAGAGAGAGGGAGAGAGAGGGAGAGAGAGGGAGAGAGACAGAGAGAGAGAGAGAGAGAGAAAAGTCTGTGATGTCAGAGAACTTTGTGTGCTTCTGTATTGGGTAATAAAAACTCTGAAAATCCAAGCGTAATATAACCACACATTCTCTGAAAGGCTGAAGGGTTGGCAAGACCTGTAAACTTGATGTAACATCAGCTTCAAAAGAAAGTAATCCATGCAATAAACACTCCCAATGCAGCATTCATACAGCATACTTACCAATATTTCTCTGAAGTACAAAGAAAAAGGAAATAAAATTGCTGAGAAATACTTGAGACAATTATAAAACTTCGTCCTTTACTGCAAACAAAACGCTTTTGCATTCATTTCATAGCCTCAGATGAAGTAGAACTCTTTAGTAGTAAAAGTGGTTGAACAGATCTGAAATAGCAGCTTATTTACAGCCAACCAGACCAGCCATGATACCACAGGGAGGGACTTCTATTTATTATAATGGATCGCATCCACAAATGACACCTGGAGAATTAGAAACAGCCTGAGAATTTTGTCTGACAAGTGGAAGCCCTTTTATAGAATCACTACTTACTTGCCAATCCTGTACATCAAACATCATGACTTTTCCCTTTGAGCCAACGGCCAAGTAAGCACCATCTGGGGAATATGATAGAGCAGCAACCTCTTGAGCCGCTTCTGACCTGATTTCAGTCAGTGTCCCGTTGCTGAGCTCATAAATGTGGATCCTGGTTTTCTGTAAAAAAAAACCAACAACAGTTACAACAAAACATTTTTCGAATTTTCATCTACATGACACAAAAAAGTACAGACAAAATGGTGACTACAGGTCTGTTGTTTCACTTTGTTTTCCCATAGGATTAGTGTTTTAATACACACAATTAGGTCATACTGAAAGTCAAGTTTTGCCTGGCAGAATTAGCACACTGAAAAAGGTAGGTCGTAAGAGATAAAACAGATAGGATTTACCAAGATAAACACTGCACATGTACTATGAGGTATACAGGAGCAAAGACATTCATGTGAGCTATTCCATCAACTAAATGGGTTGCATCCTCAGAGATCCCCATGCCCTTAATCCCTGCTCTAAAAAATCACCACAGAGTAACATATCGAAAGGAAAAAACAAAAACAACTTTTAGAGGCTATATATGGTAATCAGTTCTCGTTTTAGTAAGTGTTTTACAGAACTTGCAACACAATAAAATCATATAAGTGCGGAAGATTAGAGATGTTATAAGAGGATAACAAACAAAAAAGAAGGGGGAGAGATAAGGACAACTGATGTTGGATAGGGAAGAATGAGCAAACCACACCTGAGCACCCACCAACAACCCACATACATGTAATCAATAAGACCGAACTCCAGTTCATGTACATCAGAACAGCCTGCAGTGCACATTCCAGAGGAACCAGATCTGATCTAAAGGTGGAGAAAATCTGTACTGCATATAAAGCTGTTGGGCACAACGAAAGACTCTGATGAGACAGACTGTTGCATTGAATTGACTCCTCTCAAAGCCTGAACAGTCGACCGACAGCAGAAGAATGGGAAGACTACGAAAAAAATCATGACTCACTGAGCCAACAGCCACTTGAGTCGCCCCTGGGTTGATGCTGACGCTCAATCCTTCATACTCCACTTGCAGAGAGGACAGTTTGCGACCTGACGCGTCGAATACCAACACCTGCAAGAGATTTAACCAAATACACAAATCTCATCACACTGGAGTTACACAAGGTACAAACATTTCCTGGAATTCACTGTACATTTTGATACTTTCTGCAGCAAAACAAGCTCAATTCAGAGCCAGAAAAAAACACACACAAAAAACAGTATTTCCATTTAATAAAGTAATATATTAAAAACAAATCATGCTTAAAGAAAACCTAGGCAAATATTAAAAGACAGTTCAGAGTCAGAGTGATGAAAGACTGAGATAGCTAGAAAAGTTTATTTCTTATGAAGGTTTTCCTGCAGTATACTAGGATGTAGCACTTTTCTGATTTCATAACCAAACTAACAGATTAAGTCTCAAAAGTCATTTATAATCTTTATAAGCTCATAATTGAACATTTCAGACGTCTTTGAGGCAAATGATAAACAAATTTGTGATTCATATAAAAATGAAGAAAACATGCAACACAATAAAGATTGTTCTCAAATCTCAACATTTGACCTCATTCTCAAACGCCTAAAATCAGTAAGCACACGTTCATTATTGCTGGGGGGGGGGGGGGGGGTTTCCCTCTAAGAACATTCAATCATACATAATATGATATTGAAAACTTTTTATAAATTGGTTGACAAAATAACTTAAGTTATGATTTTTCTGAGAGCCCCTATATTAGCTGGGTTCTTGGGAATATAAAGTAGCCCACACCTTGGTCCTCAGTGAGTTAAAGGTTCTTCACATGAACTTGGTTCAAAACATTTTTATCTTGATTAGTATTTTTAAATACAAATGAATGATTCCCCTTACAAAAACCCCTAAACCCCCATACAAACACACAATCCAGCATAAACACAAACACAAGCTTTCCACAACTCACATGACGGAGACAGGCGATGACGACAACATTCTCTTTGAAGTCCACGCTACGGGGCTGGGACTCAAGTTTTACAGAGTCTCCACTGTAGGCAGAGAAAAGTACAGAATAGCTTATATGAGAATGGCTTCTTTGGTACCATTATAAAATCAACTCAAGTACATTGATACACACACACACACTGTATGTATACACACCATCAAATAAACATATGTGTGTCCCTGCCGGTCAATATCAGTCATATGAAGGAAATTTCAAAACTGAGTTAACATTATCTTAAAAAACTATCACCTTTTCCCTACAATTTAAAACAAGAAATATTCATAGTCGAATATAGTTGTGTTTATTTTTATCTTAAATGAAGCAGAAGACATCAAACTTTCAAAATATCCACACAAAAAAAATTTCATGGAAAGTCACTTTTTTGCCTTTCGAGCCTCGTAGCTCATAATAGCACAATGCGTCTTACGACTGATATTGACCGGGCCAGACAGATACATGATCATAACTTAAGATAATGTATGTGTATTCAAACTCACTAAACTGCACACAGACATTTTGGCAACAAAAAACAATTTAGTTAAAGTTTTGTCACATAGCTAGTGTCTGCCTACTGCTTCAAGAAACACAAGGCACAGTTCGACCCTAACTTTGTTCCAGCAGACTTTGCACCCATCTGTTAACATCTGGCTGGGAAAAACTGTGGCTGAACCACCTGCATCTGCACAGTGGACGTAACTGAACCCCTCATCCCATTGTTTTCACTCTAAAAAAGACAAGTAGTCTCGCCGTAGACTTGCCACAAGCTTGCCGAGTGCTATTGCTCAAACATGGACTTGGGGTCATCTATGTTCAAAAGCAGAGATACTCCTTAACAGTTTCCAAGCCACAGGGGTTTCCACGGTTGTGCCAGACAAGCGTACAATAAATGTGACTGGTTGAAGAGGCGTTGGGAGGGACAGGGCAATAGGTTTATTCTATGAAATAAAACTTACACCTTTGACATCAAAATGAAGACAAGAGGATAAAGTGCAAAGAGATAGTATCAGAAAATAAGAATATCAGTAAACAAAATTCGTTACCTCACTCATGTGAAAAAAAGGGCCTACTTTGTCCCAAAAAAATATACCATATCAACGATACATTGTGGGTTGGCACGTAAAGGCAAAAGAAAACAATCGACCATTCCCTTTCTGTCATCCATATTTGATTGTGTCTTCAAGCAAGACAGACCATTCTCTCACAAACCTCACTTTACATTATCCACACATTCACATCCATTTCATCGACACAAAACAGAAACCACAGACCTGTACTCCCCGCTGCCAGTCGGTGTGAATCGGACGGTGTCGTCAATGCCAACAGACACCAGGACATCCCCGCCGAGGGCCAGGTCCATCACCTGGTTGGTGTGACCTTTGCCCTTAATGTCATCGCTCTCACCAGTAGCAGCATTCCAACTGACTGGAGGCTAGTTCAGGAATTCTTATCATAAAACAGACACAACAGTCAACATGACGGCAAGGAGAAATGGCAAAATGACCGTATAATTTTGACATCATTACACCGTTAGAGAAATTGCAAAATGGCTTTATAATTTTGACATTATTACATTGTCACTGAGAAATGGCAAAATGACTTAGCAATTTTGACATAATCACATGATCAGGGTAACCCTGGTAAACATTACAAGAGCACTATTTCCAAGTACCAAAATTAATCTTAAAAACATTCACTCCTATTCTAACAGAAACCTGTCCAAAATAATCACCACATGTACAAATGACCTCATCCCACTTCCACCCCTGTCTTTTTAAAAACATAATAATGACACTGTCAAAGCGGTCCACTTGTCTAGGACAAACATTTTTCTCCTCGACAGTAGGAGGCTGCTTCGAACAATTTCAACTGTACTTCCAATATACTCTCCAAAGAAATCACTTGAACTGTTGTGCCATGTTTCCTTTGAATTGGTAAGAAGAATAAAATGTTAAAGATGTTCAAACTTGATACACTATTTGCAATACATACATCATAACAGATCTGACAGCAAAGTGTGACAAGGAATAAATGTCTTGAAACAACTGGTGCACTTCCAAAGCCAAGCATATATTCTAACAAGGATGACATAATAGAAAAAAAACACGAAATATTTCTCTATGGGACAAGGATACCAATTAGGCCATCGCTGCTCGCAGTGTAGAAACTGGAACCATCAGGGCTTGTAGTCAGAGCCACAATAGGCTTGTTATGACCCTGAAAAAAAAAATTCAGGACGTATCTAGCAATGTATAATTTTCCTTTCAATGAAAACTATTTTCCAGGAGAATACAGAAAACAAAAAAGTGCAGTAGGATTTAACATGTGGACAAGAGAAAAAATCTGGTGGTAAAAGTGAGCGTAATTCTTCCACTATTCACCTGATGGCAAATTCAGTGAACAAAGATGTAGGCATCATGTATGTCATAATGTAGGTGTTTTTTATGCCCCCATCAGATAATTTAGGAGGCGAGCTTCTGACCTCACCAGTCAGGGCCAACCAGGGCTGAACAGGATACAACATCCCAGCAGAAAGACAGAAAAATAGGGATAAACAATTTTCTCTCCCCACTTGTGAATCGACCTCAGGTCTCCGGCATGCGCCACATCACAGACACTTGTGAGTGTATCATTGCAAAACCATCTTTTCGCAATACAAAGAGACAGTCAATACAAAAACTCAGAAATAAGATGTTTATACTTAATCACACACGACTTACGGCCATATGCCAAGGTAAGAACAGACTTCGCTATGACTAAAAGACAGTATTCGCAAGGACATCAAAGCAGTGAAGCAAGATAGAATAAGCAGACAACACAAGAGTACATTTTCTCAGCCTCACATAACTGTCATAAGGAACAACTACAGATTTTCAAAGAGAAAGAAATCGTAAAGACATTATTTCTATGAGGGCGAGTAAATCATTCAGAGCCAAATTTAGCACCAGGAAATGATTCAGAATCAGCTGTTAAGAGCAGAGCCACTCAAGTGACACAATGGATCCTTTCACAGGGCGGCACAGCTTGATTTGAGCAAAATCTCATTCACAAAGCAGAGAATAATAAATTCTCCCAAAGATATAATGGATGACTGTTAAAAAGGGAAATAACATCATTACACTAAAATTAATATAACAGAAATAAAGAAGAAAAAATCCACAAAAACAGCATCCGTAGAAAAGTGTACACAACTTATCTCTTTTTCATTCCTTCATTATATCAAGTGTTGATGTACTACATGTTCTACCGTCACTAAATTTTATTGACCATACCTACCTTGATAATTTTTTTGGGTGAAGCTGGACTAGCAGGGTCCAAGTAGTTGAAATTTCCAGAGAGAGACACGGTGATGATATTGTCCCCTTGCCACAAACATCCAACTTGCATGTCTGTCACTTGTTTGCCTAGCACGAAATCTCTGAAAAGTAATCCCAGAAGAAATGAATCTCAGGGTGGCTGGTACAGCACAGTCAATATCATTCATCTAATTTCCAAGAAATAAATATGAATCTGAGTGAACGAGAAGCACAGTAAAGAAGTTAAAGTAAATTAGTTAAAAGTTAGGGGCGGAAAAGCACAGTTGTTTGCAGTTCTCACATATATAGTGAAACCTGTCCAAGACAACCGCCTTTAGAAAGGGCCACTTTGCACTTCCTTGCATTTTTACTATATAATGCTACTGCCCAAGACAACAACCTGTCCAACGCTTCTGTGGCCACTATTCTCTACCAACTAACAGCTCCAAAAACCTGTCCAAAATGGTCATGCAAATCTCTCATCGCTCGACACATTGTTATAAATTATATATCACCCTTGATGTTGTGGCTGTGGACAAGCCGTCATAATCCAATATGTGGCCATCTTGGACAATTTTGACAGCATAATAAAGTATACAGATGGATCAAATCTTCCCTGAAATGTTATCTATGACAGATTTATGTGGGGGGGGAAGTTTGAAATATTTTGCTTTATGTACCCTTGCCACAGGTACTAAATTGAGTACTTACTACAGTCAAATAGACTATCTTAATAATGGTGCATTTTCAAAATTAGAAACAACCCGTAAAAAAGTAACTAGACTATTTTGGCAAAAATGCATCTTCAAAATTAGATAAGCTGAATCAAAGAAATAGACTATGCGCTCATATGACCTCATGCAGTTGCGAACCCCGCAAAACACTTACAAAAAAGAAATAGACTATTTTGGCTATCATACATCTTCAAAATTGGAGTAACCTCTATCTATTTATGCTGCCAAGAGAAACAGAACTGAAAAGTACAAGAGATAACAAAGTATCAGGTTAACTGGCAGCCAACTCTCATTATGAAATGCTATTTGGAATCAGAACCTACGTTTCAACAGAGTTGGCCTCAATGTTCCAGATTTTAGCAGTCTTGTCTCCTGACACAGACAGCAATTTGGAGCCGTCGGCGTTGAAGCAGATCTGTAAAGCATAGGGAAAGTTTGTTAGTTACGTTTGCTTAAGTACAGAAAAGGACATAGATATAATAATGGGTCATTCAGCGCTGGGAAAAAGTAAGACAGGCAGAAACAACAGAAGGAAAAAAAAGAAGTAGGACCAACCAGAGACAGCCTTTAACCACCCGCTGTACAGCACAAGGAAGAAAAGAGATGGACACAGTCCCAGCTCACAAAACACAGGGTCGTATCAAAATCTTCACACTACACAACAAAAATGGAATACAGTAGAACCTGTCCAAAGTGACCACCCCCTGCCAATGAGAAAAGCGGTTGTCTAAGACAGGTGGCCCTCTTGGATGGAGTCATCATAATGCAATAGGGGGCATGGGAAGATTGTTGTATGAATAGTCAGCATGACATAACCACAAAGCGATGTGCACATAATCATAAACAACTATGGGTCCAACAGGTCAAATGGCTAGAAAAGGAAATGAGTAAGTCTGTTGGGAGTTGCTCATTTTTCATGTGATAGTAACAATGTACCAGTACTAATTAGAATCTTTTTGATATATAACATGGGATTAAGGTAGAACAAAATTTTTAATGGGGCAAAATGAAAAAAAGTTTCATGTCCACAGTGGTGTTGAATGTGGCCTCCTTTCCTACTACAATCTAGCATCCTTGCAATTCAGCAAGTTCCAGCTTTTTGTCACCTTTTAAGAGACTCTTGGTTATGTGTACTGAAAAAAGCATGCTTTTAATTTTTTTTTGGTTTGGATAAATAGAGACAAGATCTGCTACTCTTGGCTCTCAATAGTCAAAATTTCAACAATGAGCACAAGACCTTAGAGTTAAATGAACAAGGCGACCAATCCCATACTACTTGAGATCTGGACCTGGTGAGCAAAAAAGATTGAAACTTTCCCTTAACAATTCCATCACAAATCCGAAATCAAACCTAGTGCTTCAAAATGAGAGGAGAGCACATTACCATTTCAGGATCAAGAGTACCCCCCCCCCCCCCCCCACCACACACACCTTTCCCCGAGGAGAAAAAAGAGGGGACTACTTCAAGGACTTCTGAGTTTGTTCAAGTACTCAAAAGGTATCTGCTACATGTGTTTGGTTCAAGAGAGCTCTTCGATACTTACAGAGTAAATACCTCCAGCATGGGCTTTCGGGGCCCCCAACTCTCCAATCAGGTCTGAAGTTTTTCCATCATACATAAACAGCTGTGAGGGAAAAAAATGGTTGAGTTGACGAATACAAAAAGTAATAACATGAATTTAAATAACAGCTTTCAATTGTTGTGGATTCTAATGGTTCAGGTTGGGCCGCAAAAGGTACATGACAAAACAAAAACAAAAACAAAATAAAAGTTGTAAAGGGGGCTTCAAAAAGTTTTGTCACAGGCCACATTAAAAAAAGATAATGGCAAGAAAGACATTTTAAATTTTTCACACAAAAATCAAGCTTGTTAAGAAAAGTTAACAGTTCTACAATAAATTAAATTCATTTAAGCTGTGTTCAATACCAACATGTACAGCTTTTATGAAAACTTCACTGGCCAAGTGAATGCCACTCACTTAAACTTAAAATTTTGCAAGCAGTTTACCACTTATAAGACATCCACTGCTGACATCTAAAAAAAAATTTAAAAAAAGAAAAAAAAGAAGAAAAAAAAAGGAGTGATTTCAATAGAAACTTCAGTGCACAGTCTAAGAAAGAAAACTGTTTTACTTACACAATCCAATATAATCTTAAAAGATGTAATGAAAAGAGAAACAGATTGCAGTCACACACTGTCTTCTTATGATATAACTTACCTTGCCATCAGCCCCACCAGAGATGAATTTACTTCCATCAGGGCTGAAGCGCACACAGTTCACAAAGTTGGTATGTTCCTGTTTTAAAAGTATTACACATATATACCAATGAGTTGGCTTGACAGAAACAGAAGAATCTCGATTTAACCCCCCCCCCCCCCCCAGCAGTAAACTACTATTTTTAAAAAGAACAAACAACAGAATGGTTCTTATATATTATAAAAGGATCGGCTAAGGAAATAAAAAAGTTTTGTACTCTGAACCTTTCACTTCATGATTTGAAAGCTAGCATGAAAATTCCACAAGTGGTAAAACTTGATACATATACCTGGTAATAATTCATTTAAAAAAAATAAAAAATCAACCTCTGCTATAACAAGAGCACCAACAATGTGTAAACTAGTAATAACAGTTCTTAAGAAATGTATATGCCATAACTGCAACAACTGGCAGTTAAATACCCCAGACTGAATTTAGAATTTTAAAAACTCCAGTTCATGCATGACAATCCCAAAGAATTTTCCCACTATATAGCAAAGTACTTACGCTTTTTGAGCACACAAATTTGAATGGTGGGCCTTCATAGAATATAGAGGTAAAGTCCTCACTACCGGTGACAGCTCTCATTGGTCTGCCTTGTCTGATAGACACTGAGTTGATAGATTTACTGTGACCTTTGATCTCTCCAACAGTATTTCCAGAATCATAAGTGAAGGCCCTTCCAAAGCTGTGAGAAAAGCAAAATAGGTGTTTGTTCATTGCGTTTTTTTAAATAAGTGTTTTAATTGCTCGCAACGGCATAGGAAGGAAAAAAAGAGAAAAGAAAAAAAAAAGTTAAAAAAAGCAACTGCATAAGGTCATATGAGTGCGCCGGACACATTAACCATTTTCAGCTTGGCAAGAAATGTTTAATTTTGCCTGGGTGGCGGCCGAAGCCTGCTCTTATCGATTTTGGACCACCAAGGGACCATGGGATCTTTCACGGGCGCAACTTGCACACGTGACCTCTCAGATTTTTCGCCCTTATCCGAGAAGGCTACCCGTTAGATCTTACATTTTCCATAAGACCAGGGAAGTAGTTGAAAGACATCAGTAGAAAGGCTGCAGAAAGGCCTCCGCACATAGTGTTATTGAAGATAAGAGTATAAAGCATTTTAGAGCACAAACACAGAAATATGAAAACATGTAAACCTTGAAAGATTGCCATTCTAAAAAAAACAACTACAAAATATTTTAGTTTCATTGGGCACATTGCACTCCCCAAAATATCAATGCCTCTTTGACAGTTAAAATTTCATAAGAAGTGGACAGTATCAGAAAAACATAAATTGAAATAGAAATAAAAGTTTGTAAGCATTAATTTGTATTTGCAAAGCTAATCTCTTTAAACTTAAAATACAAAAGAAAACCATCCCATTAGTTCATGGCAAGGAAGAAAAAGCCTTCTAATTTAATTCAGAAACAGTGGTGGTTAAAAGCTGGTAAATATTTGGGAGGTATTGCAGATGTGCTCCGGCAAAAACTCTAAAGGTGTCCCTTAGTAAAGTATGTCACATACTACACTAAGCTCCCTCTGCTATTGTAATTAGAATTTAGATACTGACTCATTATGCACTTCTGCATGTCTCTATAACACTAAAAAGATGTTGTCTTAGCCATTTGACTGACTTTTTATCTGGATCGATAGTAACAACAACCTGGATTGATAATGACTGACTTTTGATATCTCCAAAGACACCCACCATGAGCAGGTTAAAAAATAGTCTAATCAACTACAGCCAAAACGTTTGAGCCCTCACTAAAAGAAAACAATAAGTTTCTCCTTAGATAACTTACAACTCCCTGCCCTCTCCTCCAACAATGATCTTCTGGCTGTCCATGGTCCAGTCTATGTCCTTGATAACTCCAGACATGGCAGAGTGCTCAATCTTGAGGATGTGCTCTGGGTTCACAGTATCCCAAATTCTCACCTTGCCGGTAACGTCTGCAAACAAGCACAATATTTAGTGGTCCTTACTACAACCCGAACAGGCTCTTTTACATGGCAAGAAACTCTACTGTCCAGGGGTAAACAAGCAGGAAAAATCAAGAACAATTATTAAGTGTGCTGATGTTGCCATTGTAGCCTACTGACAATATACGCCTGACATCATGTTCCTAAATTTGTGACCTGGTTCTCCACATCATCTGATCCATAAATATAAAAAATAAATAAGGATTTTATATTATGCAACTGTAGCTATAAGCAATTTGTTCTAAACAATAATCATTAAGGCTATATTTTACAATTTTATGAAATTTCAACCTGCTTATGATTTTCCATGCGCTCTGGTTTCTAAGATCATACTATATTGGAAAAGTATATATCTATTGTTGTTATCAGTATCAGTTAACAAGCAAAAAATTAGAAAAAGTGCCAAGAATACCTCCTGAAGCAATGTAAAAGCCTGAGGGGGAGTATTTTGCCACAGAAGTCTCCTTAGAGTGCTCAGAATAGACATCACATTCAGAAGTGTCCTGTTGATACAAAAATGAAAAGAGTAAATATATTTTAGAGCTAAAACGAGAACAGATGTTAATGTTACTTGGCCCTTTTATAAAAGACGTCAGTAGATGCACAACCTCCAATCTTTCTACATCTCAACCATACTAAATATTATGACAGCTTCTCTTTGCTATAGTCCTCATTTTCTCCAGGACTGTCCAGATCAATTAGAAGATTTGAAAGATCCAAAGGCCAAACATGATTTCCACTTTATCATATGTAACTAAACTGAATAGAGAAAAAATAAATTTCCACTTTCATTCAACAAAGGGTAAACACTGCATTCCCTTCCGGGTTTTATAAACCTCCCACACCATGTAAATTTAAGACAGGAATAAATTTTCACACACAGCCATAAATATAGGATATTCATCTTTGGCTTTTTTTCCAGGTTATACTTAGGCAAAATAAAATGAAAATCAAAATAAATAACAGCACTTACATTGATGTTTCGGATGAAAACATTATTTCCATTGCAGTAAAGGAAGTTCTTTTCTTTGGGATCTCCATTGATGACGATTGGCTGACCCCGCACTGTGCGGGGCAAAGATGCATATGTCTTCTCTGTAAAACAATTGAATGAAAAGTAAGTTAAGATGCGATGGCAAAAATAAGTTGCTAACATTTTGGACAAACTTTACTAATTGATTATTCCGACTCGAGACCGAAGAGACAAAAATTATACTCGGACTCTGAATTGAGTCCAGCATGACGTCTGTTCCTACTTCCGACCCTTGCTCCTAAATATTTCCAGCATTTATGAAATTTTTTTCAATCATAATGATAACAATCGAGATGTGAGCTTTAATATCCAGTTACTAGATCTATCTAAACTGGCCCCCTCTGGATCATTAGTATGAATAGAACAACCAAGTTAAGTTGATCTTGCCGGGGGCAAAGCTAATTATGTCGACCAATGAGACTGCGCGTAGCGATCACGTACTCCTGCCTTGCTGGTGGAAGAGGTATTGGGAAGAGGTCACTGCTGTCGGTTTTGTGTGGTGGGATAAAAAAAAAATTAGTTACAGAAAAACTATAACACACAAAAAAATGAAATTAAAATGTGGAAAGACAAATGGTGGTGGAAGTAATACTGTAGCGGTGGTGGAAAGACCCTGAATTGCCAGTTATTGTGTACATAGACACTGAGTCACACTGCCATTGGGTAATGAGAGAGCAGTCTTTTGACTTTTGACACAATTACACAGTCCAAGTAGGTAATTCTAGTTCATTCTGGTACATAAAATTCCACGACGACAGTTGTAACCTCTTTAGACTCACATAATCCACTTACAAGCTGACTTCGAATTTAAATAAAACATTTTTTCGGACCCCAGTCCGAATACATAAAACCTATTTCGGACTCAAGTTCGAATAGATAAAAAATCTAATCGGACTCGAGTCCGAATATAGCTGGCCTTTGACAAAAGTAAAACTATTACATGGTGGCTATTTTCTGACCTACAATCTATAGGAATATCACTCAAGCTATGATGTAAAGAATTAAATTTGTGTGTGAGCCTCTATACATATATTTGTGTATAAATATAATGATAATGTCACCTTCATTCTTGTCTCATGCTCAGGAATTGTTGCCCTTTTAAAATTAATTTTTATCCATTCTATAATAGGTCTATATTAGGCCCCCATGACCGTTGAATTTTATAGACCTAGTTAGTTGTTAGAAAAATGTGACGGTTAACTCTTTTTTATCCGGGCTACTAGTATACACTCGTAACAAGGACCAGTCCGGGCTACAAGTAAACTCGGAACAGCTATACGGTCACGTCAAACAGCTAGCTCTCCTTGTAATTACCAAAATACGCAAATACGGATATGTTAGCTCTGTCTGAATATTTAAACTTTCCAATGAACAGCGATTATTTGCTTTTGATGGGCATAGAAGCTTGAAAAATGTCTTGAAAACGCACGTTCACGATCGACTAAGTACTTCTTGAAGTGGCCCTGAGTTGTGTGTGGGGAATGAGACTAATTTTATGAAAGTGACTCTGAATCAAAAGCCGTAAAATCCGTTGTGGATGATAACGAATAGGAATTAGACTCATCTAATAGCGATTCAAATCATAATGAAGGGGTCAGTACTGGAATTCGTGCAGTACCAATGGGTAGGGCTAGATCTATAAATCCAAAGGGATGACGTAGGAATGGCAATCAGGGTCAAGTTAGAGGGTTGAATTCTTTAGATATCTCAAAATCCACATGGTGTACATTGTACATGGTGTAGTTCCTAACCACATACATTTACAAAAACTAGATTCAATTTCTAACATACTGCCAAATTTCCTTATAACCTAAGAGTAAAAAATGTAAGAAATACAGCACTTTGAAATATTCACACTGAATTCCAACTCATATATGGCGCGGCGGCCCCAGGACGGGTACGGAGTCCGTGGGGTATGACCAGGATAAAAAGAGTTTTAAAATATTATATTATTATATTCAAACTACAATACACAAAGCCTAATTGTGTTGCAATTTCCGCACTGTGGACCAATCCGGGTTCAGGATAAAAAGAGTTTTAAAATATTATATATATATTCAAACTACAATAACCCTAACTGTGTTGTAATTTCCGCACTGTGGACCAATCCGGGTTCAGGTTCAGGGGGGGGTTCTGGGACAACAGCCCCCTCGTTTTTCCACAAAATTTGATGTTTTGCTATTGTTAAGTTTGAAATTTTCTCGCAAACAATTGATGTGTGACAATTTTAGTGTGTGATCTGCAGAAGAAAAAAAAAAATATATATGGCAGTTTGATCCTCCAAAGCAGTGCATCATTCTTCATTCCTGTGTCATGTGCAGGGGAGTTAGAGTGAAAGTTATAAATGGTCGCTTTTAAGGACAAAAGCGGGCTAACCCAGATTTCGGGGGTTTCCAGAAAGGGAGTACATGATACAGACCTGGTAACTGGGAACAAAGTCATGAAGTATACAGACCCGGTAGGAGAAATCTTTTGTGATTTTGGAAAGTTTCAGCGCCCTCTTGATCTGGGCTCAGGGTAGACCTAGGTTCTTCTAGATCTAAGGTTTAGATCTCATGTAGACAGACAGACAGACATAAATCATAAAATCTAGTTTCGAGGCCCTAAGAAGATCTAAAAATGAAGATTGGGGATGTCTTTTCGATGAACCAACGATAGTTTTTTCCTCCGTTTTGGAGTTGGAGGAATCAATAGACAATTTGAAGCAAAGAACAATGTCATAATTTCAATCGAAAAGTCACCCTCTCTATTTCTGTTCTGTCTCTCCATCCCCCCCCCCCTGCTCTCTCTCTTTTCTCTGTGTATTTCTCGCCTTCTCTTTCTCTTTCTTGTTTGTCTGTCTTTCTTTCTCCCCCTCCTACTTTTCCACTCTTATCTTTCTCTCGTTCCCTCCCTGTCAACAGGGGCGTAATATTTTCACAAACACACTGTCTACCGGGTCTGGGAGCTGAAACTCTCCGAAATCACAAAAGATCTCCTCTACCGGGTCTGTATACTTTGTGACTTTGTTTCCGGTTACCGTGTCTGTATACACTTCGATCCAGAAATCTTGTCCTACACCAAAAAAGGGCATTGCTCTACCTAGCCTACTATAGACTATAGGAGAAGTTTGGCTTCATTGGTGTGTATATTTGTTGGCCACCTCTATTCTCACCCTGGGTGAGAATAGTGTAGGCGAGTCTTTTGGCTATTCTCACCCGGTGCGCGTTCATCGTTATCCTAGATCTAGATCAACCAATTTTGCGTTCACCCTAAACCACAGAATTCTGCACTGTGGTGATAACAGAAAAATTGTAGAATTCTGTGCCGTGAACAAATGTTCCATTACTACTGTTAGCCTACTAAAAGCGAACAGTTTTGTCTGTGGACAGTGGAGAGAAAGAGAGAGAAAGAGAGGAGTAGGCTAGCGCGAGAACTTCCGGGCAAAACAAAATGGCGACCCGCGTAGTTCGGCTCGATTCGAAAAGTTAAATAGCCGTAGCATCTTTGTAGACGACCAAATTAATTTACTTTTGTGTTTTAACATCATTTTTTAACTTTGTTTTGGTCAATTTGATCGTCCACACCGATAGACAGTATTCAGAAAGAGACTGAGAGAGTTGAGAGAGAGAAGAGGGGAGGAGTAGATCTTGCGAGAACTTCCGGGCAAAACAAAATGGCGACCCCCGTAGTTCGGCTCGATTCGAAAAGTGAAATAGCCATAGCATCTTTGTAGTCGATAAAATTTGCTTATTTTTGTGCTATACGTAATCTTTCTTTGCCTTTACCCATTTTATCATCCACATCGATAGAAAGTATTCCGAAATTAGGAAAAACAGGTCTTGTTTCACACCGGGTGAGAATAGCCTACGGTGGCAAGTCTCACCCGGGGTGAGAGGTCGATCGTATTCTCACCCCGGGTGAGAATAGCCACTTCCATAAATTTGTTCAGTCATTATAAAAGAGTGTTTTAAAGAAACTGATCAAGGGGCAAAAACTTTTCCTTTGATTTTCTCAAAACATCATTTTTCGGGATTGCCCCCTTCTTGTCCTTAAACTTAAAAGCAACCAAATTTCGAAAAAAGTAGGGTTCTGTTGTATTGTAAGTAATGACTACTAATGACACAATGCGAATTCATAGGAATTCAATAATATATTGAGTTGTTTTCTCTACTCATAAACATTTTCTTGACTTGAAAATGTAAGTAAATCATCTAGATCTAGATCTAGACACTTGATCTAGATCTAGATCTAAAGAGTATGTGGAAATCCAAATCACTGAATCAATTTTGATGACTCAACTTCCAACACAACAATTTTGTTATGACATGATGGATTCGGTGCGTCAGGAAGTGCAGGATCCAAAGTTAAAGTGAAGTCGGTAGACTGTTTAACTGTTTATCTTAAAACAGAGCGCATTACGTATATTAGAATTTGAAGTAAAACTATGTAGAAAGTATGTGTTGTAAGGTAAGGCGGTATTGATTCTATTGAAAGTTGATAAATCTCCCTCCCACCTTCCTTCTCTGCTTCTTTACATTACATGACAGAACAGAGGGGGAGTGGCGTCCCTTGCAATAGCTCCGGCTTTTGCCTCTGGAAACAAGACTGCATCTCGTCTTATTCGAAAGTCTAATGCAAGACAATTATTTTTCAGTCTCAAATAAACTTACTGAGAGTAAACGTAGTCATCTTGAGTCCCTACTGAAGTGAACAAAACAGTCCAAGAAGTCTCAATTTAAACGAGAAATCCGATCAGTTCAGCTTTACTTTACTTCCGTACTCCAAGCCGGGCAGGAAATGTGTAGGTGTATTCCCTGCGCATGCGTTTTAAACAGTAGATATTTCCATATATGGAAAAAGATTTGTTATTGGAATCGAAGCAAGAAGAAGTGGAAGAAATCGGCCAGAGCTAAGGGCACCCAAAATAGGACAGGTGTTGCGAATTGCGAATTCTACCTTTTTAGGGGGTGATTTCCCCAGAGTTAAAAATAGAAAAGAGCGAATTGTGATAAGCCTAGCTTCCTCCTGGTGGTACGGTATGAATTCCATGATAATGATGGTGCAAGATAGCACTCATAGAGAAACTTTCGCAGGGCATGATCATTACCAAAAACAAACAAACAACAACAACATCAACAAAACGTATGAATGAAAGTACAACAACAACATCACAACCAGAATGTGGTAATATCTTTGATTGTAGAGAATGTTTGGTAATACATTATTTAACCCAACACGCAAATGCGAGATAACTTTACTACTACTACTACTAGATCTAGATCTACTATTACTACTAATGCTACGACTACTCTAAAGCGGCGCACAAATAGAATGCTTGCTCGCGATAAAAGTGAGCGCGTTGGGACACGCGCGTGAAATGTTACTCAAAAGTTGCTTGTTGCGCACAAAAAGCACGCTCGCTTTATGGCGCCTGAGATTTCAAGCGACGCTT